TCTCTCTCTCTCTCTCTCTCTCTCTCTCTCTCTCTCTCTCTCTCAACTCCAGCTCTGCCTTCTTGTCTTGTAGACATTTCTATCTGGATGCCTGATTGGTGAGGCAAACTCAACAAATGTGAAACTGAATCCATTGTGAAAGAATAGGATATATAAAGAAGTTAGACAGAAGACCTACATCCAAACTGTCTGTGTGATTGAAACACCATTTACCTCCTTGAGCCTCATAGATAAAATAAGAAAATAATCTTCCAATAGAATTAGACAAAATATTGTGAAAATACTTAGTTTTCTACTTTATGGTTTTGTTATGTTTTGGTCTGGTTATATTTTCTTGGTTATCCAGACTCAACAAACTACTACTTCATGAAGCTTTCTGTATCCATTCTTGGTTCTTACATTTCTGGTGGGCCAGACTAGCTAGATACAGCCTAGTTATCACTTTTGTCAAGTTTTAAAAATCCTGGAGTTCTTCTAAGATGTATGCTGAGTAACAGAAACATTATATAAAATGCCTGTAGAACCAGTTTCTGTTGGATTTCAGGAAGTGTAACACTGAGCGTTTTGGTGGTGGCTGACATACTGTTTAGAGGAGACTTGAAAAATTTAGGCACATAAACGGATCCCTTTGTAGGAAGGGCAGTAGGTTTTTCATCCCAGATGTTAATGTGGCTGTCCATTGGGATTCTTGACCTGTTAGCAGACACTGCTGGGCTGGAACTCTATTCACGCTTGTCTGCTCTACCAGATTCTTGGATCTTCTGGATTAGCTAGGCTTGGGAAGGTCATTTTCCAACTAAGAGTGGCTGACTAGCTCCTGGCCACCGTGATTAAGCCTTTGCTGGTGAGAGCAGGTGCACTAAGCTAGGAGTTCAGATATTGGGCGCTCAAACCACTGTCAGGAAGCTTACCTCTGTCGTGCATATTCAGGGGCTGGTTGATTATAGAGGTGATGACCTAGCCATGTCTTTAAAGGCAAATGTATCAGTATGGTGTTATTTGCTTCCTTGTCAAAATGATCAGTTTTTCCATCTCATCTTAATCTCAGTTCTGTGCAGTTTTAAGACAAGCTTGTAATTTTATGAGAATGGCCAGCTGAGGGCAGTGGAGAGCCAACCAGCAGTTGAATAAGTCCTTGTTCAGAGATTTTTCAAAAATCTGGCAAGTTTTTCTTCTCCCCGTCTCAGATCAGATTTCTTTAAAAGATCTTCCCTAAGAAGAAGTAGGCCCCCTCTGCATTCTTTACCCTATGCCCCAATTTCTTCAAAGCCTTTAACAGTTTAGATTTTTTTTTGTATTGTGTCTCCAACTCCTTTGGCATAGAGGCTTTAGGAGATCAAAGACACTGACTCTTTCACTTCTCTATACTTCTCCTAACTAAAGTGGAAGTTCTTGCATAACCCAAGAGGTAAATGATGATTCAAAGGGGACTGGCGCCAGTGTTGATGATGACCCAGGATCCACCTCAGCATGTATTTTAGAAGTGGTAACAGACGTGCTAAAGAATGGGATGTTGGCAAGGAAGAGTGGAGATTCACACTTCGTTCCTTCAGTTTGCCCCTCTGGGGCTAGGTGCTGAACAAGTTAACTTTGAAAGGCCTTTTATGTTCACAAGTGGAATATTAAGAAGATAGTTGGCTATTTAAATCTGAGTGTTATAGTCTACTTTGGGTAGAGATGAAGGCTAGAAATGAGTATATACATGTACATATGTCTATGTCCATATGTCTACACTAGGTGAAATCACCTAAGGAAAGTGTTTGTGGGAACAAGGTCACACAATGGTTCCTGGGGAAAGACATTTCCAAGTCTTTCGGAATCTGGGAATATAGCTCAGTGACAAAGTGCTTCCCTGCATGGGTTCAATCCTCAGCACCATACAAAAAAAATTGAAAATAATGGGACTGGAGAGATGGCTCAGCAGTTAAGAACTCTGGCTGTTTTTCAGAAGACCTGGGTTCAAATCCCAGCACCCACGTGACAGTTAACAACTGTCTATAACTCCAGTTCCAGGAAATCTGATACCCTCATCTGACCTCCACAGGCATTGCACAACATGGGTGCACTTACACATATATAGACAATACATGCATATACTTAAAAAATTGAAAAATAAAAGGAAGAATTCTTTCAGAGAAGAACCAACAAAGAAAATGCTGAAGGCACAGCCTTTAAGAAGGTGGCTAGGAAAATGCGGCCAGACCAAAGCAAATAAAACAGTTTCAGGAAGGAAAGAATATTCAATCAACATAAGTTTCAGGTAGAAGAAATATATAATAATAAAACATTTTTACCATGTTTCAAAATTTACCATCTCTATTATTGTGTTGATTAAATACGCCAGTTGGAACCAAAGTAGAGCTACTATCTGATGGTCTATCTTTAGCTAAGAAAAAAAAAAGCACAATATAGAAGCAACTTTTATCATATGCGACTATGAATGCCTCACCGTTTGGAGAGCAATCTGTTGCTTTTTTTATATGTGTACTGTGTATTCTCTTCTAGGTTTAATTCCTGCTATGAATTAATTCTATCTCGTTTCTGTACTTGGGACTTCAGAACATATGGCATCACGGGAATAAAAGTAAAACATGTCATTAAAGTTAACAATCGCATTTTGAGACTGAAATTTGAAGACAAATTTCAAAAGTTTTTGGATCATGAAAATACACATGAAGCCCTCTTCTGACCTCCACGGCATTGCACGACATGGGTGCACTCACATACATGCAATACACTCATACACATAAAATAAAAATAATAAAATATTTTTAAAAAACAGTATTCCTGTTTTAAAAGTTAAGCATATGAAAGATATGCCCTGCTGTTAAATTTATCCTGGTAAACTATCTCCTGTGGCTCAGATGACCTTGTAATTTGTCCACATTGGGCTTCCTTTTGGAGTGGGTTTGGAGCAGCGGAGTGTCCATTGTAAACTGGAAACACCCACTGCAGGTTTTCTGATCAATGGCTAAGCGTTCGTGAAATCCATTCCAACCCCTTTTCTGTTTCATTTATTCTTAAGCACCTATCGAAAGATGCTGGAATACCTTTTTTATGTTTTTGATCCTGAAGTTGCAGTGAAGAAAAAGCAGCTGCTGCAAATACTTGAAAAAGGATTCAAAGAAAGTGAACCAAGCAAGGTAGCCTGCGAACCTGGACTAACACTTTCTTCCCAGAGTGCAGCTCTGCCCCTGGTCCAGTGCGGCTCCCCATCCATCCCTTCAGCCACACAACAGACTTCTGCCCGGTTTCACCAGCTGTGTCACCGCATGGCAGAAGGAACAGAGTCTTAGGCATAAAAAAGTCCATTAATGGTTTTATTTGCCTAATTTGACTTAGTCCTTTTAGGCACCTTAACCTTTGTAGGTGCCTTTATGATCTCCTTCTTTAATTGGTTTTAAAACTATTATGAACCTTCAATTTGCTGTAAACTCCACATCTTGAAAAATCCATTCCCTCGCGTTCTCTGTGCTCTCTAGCCGCCAGCCTGGCTTCTCCTTCCTTTTACTGCCCTATTCCTTGCCCTTCTACTTTCCTGTCCTCACCTTACTGCTGACACTGTTTTGTCACTGGTCACTCCTGAGCCCTGAGATAGCCAGACAACTTTTCCAATCTTCTACCCTCTTGAAGAGGGAACTATGACCCATTCTTACAGAGCACTGCCTCCTAATCCTCTTCATCATGGAGCACATAGAATGATAACCCTGCTGAGTTTGAATCCTGGCTTTACTCTCACCAGGTATATCACTTCCCCTGTCTGCACCCATTTCTCTTTGTGAGAAAGAATCTCATGTAGCCCAGGGTGGCTTTGAATTTGCTTTAAGCAAGAGTGACTTTGAACGCCTGATTATCCTGCCTCTACCTCCCAAGTGCTAGAGTTACTGTCATATACCACCATGCCCAATTTACATGGTGCTGGGGACCAAACCTGAGGCTTTGTTGTGCTAGGCAAACACTTTATCACCTGAGCTACATCTCCAGCTTCTGTGACTAAATCTTTATACACTATAAAATGAAAATAATAGTGTTACATATTTTACAAAGTTGTTGGTAGGATTTAGTTAAATAAAATGCTAAAATGTTCTTTAGTGTTTATAGACCAGTGTTCATGCATCACTATTAAACAGTTGAAGAGTAAAAACAACCCAAATATGCATCAGCAGAGGATTTGGATAGACAAAAAGTGGCATACACCTAAAATGGATGAACATTTAACTATAAAGAAAGATGAAATTGCACCACAGGCTACAGCACAGAGGAACCTCAAAAACACCATGCTAAATTAAATAAGGCAAGGGGAAATATCATGTAAGTACTTAGAATAGGCAAAGTAAGACATTGAAAGATGAACAGAGGTTACCAGGGCCTGGGGAGATAAGGGGTGGGGACTTAATCTTGTTAAGTGCAGAGTCAGTTCTAGTTAATTAAATAGTCCTGGAGATGGATAGTGATGAGGCTGCATAATAATGTAAATAAACCTAATGCCACTGAAGTCTATGCTTCAGAAATAGTTAAAATGGTCAATTTTATTTCAGTTTTCTGGTGTGTGTCACAAAAATAATGACCAAGCAAGTATTTGGGGTTGGGGAGTTGGTTTAGCCAGTAAAGCTCTTGCTGCACAACTGTGAGTTTCTGAATTCAGCTCTCGAGCACCCACGAGAAAACCAGGTGTGGCAGTGAAGGCCTGTGATACTAGCACTAGGGAGACAGGAGAGTCCCCTGGGCTTGCTGGCCTCCAGTCTAAATGATTGACAAACTCCAGGTTCAGTAAAAGAGATTCTGCCTCAAAAAATAAGGTTGAGAGCCATAGAGGAGACCGCCCCCCAATGTCAGCCTCTGGCCTCCACAGGCACAAATACGGGCACACACACACACACACACACACACACACACACACACACACACTGGATGTCTGGGTGGTCTGGAGAATGAATTGCAGGAGCAGATGGTGAGGCATTGTCTTAGGGAGCTACTGTGGCAGATCAGGCCACAATAGAAGTGGCTCTGGCAGGAGGGTGAGAGTACCTTCATGGTACTTTCTGGAGAGGAAATAAGGAGGAAAGAAATTCAAGGTTTTAGAAGGCAGAGTGAATGCTCATATTTAATTCATATTTAATGCTCATATTTAATTGAACCATCATGGTCACAGAAGGTGGGGTAAAAATGGAGCTAATATTTCCCATGTGTTTGCTGCCCACAGACACTGTCCTGGTGATTTATCTTCTGCCTCTGCTAAAAGAGATGATTGTCTCCTTTAATTCTTCCAGTTGCCCTTTCTGCTGCTTGGCTCACTGAGGTAACCACCACCCTCATGTGACCACTGAGCATTAGAAATAAGACTAGTCCACATCAAGTGTATGGGAAGCTTAACAAAAACACCAGCTTGTCCAGTATAGAAAAACGACTATAATTTCTTACATTGATTATATATTGAAATGATAATATTTTAGATGTTTATAAGACAAACTGTGATATTAAAGTTTCCCCCAAATTCTCGAGTCAATGCTTGCTTAGTACATACACAGCTTTAGGATGCTTTGCTGCTTTTGTCTGGACCATCTGACACTGTTTGTTCCTCTCTCTAGTTCCCCTTTCAAACTCCTCTGGCATCCATGGTAGTATACTGTAGCTACCCTTCTATTTTTATTGTCTTATTGCCATCTCTTTTCCCCAAACACCATCAGTTACTCTCAACATGAAGATTCTAGATATGGAAGAGCCATTACAGTGCAGGGTGGAGATCAGATGATTAGATGAGTGAGTTTCTATGCAATGATGGAACCCTGTGGACGAAAATAAATATTTAGATTATAGATCAAGAAATAGACTTCTGAGGTGGGCGTGGTGGCCTACGCCTTTAATCCCAGTACGTGGGAGGCAGAGGCAGGCAGAGAGTTCAGGCCAGCCTGGTTTACATAGTGAGTTCCAGGTCAGCTGGGTCTACAAGGAGACCCTGTCTCAAAAAGACCAAAAAAGGAGACGGAAGGAGAAAGGAAGGAAGGGAGAGGGGGAGGGAGGGAGGGAGGGAGGGGAAGGAAGGAAGGAAGGCAGGAAGGAAGAAAGAAAGAGAAAGAAAGAAAGAAAGAAAGAAAGAAAGAAAGAAAGAAAGAAAGAAAGAAAGGAGAAAGAAGAAAGAAAGTGACTGATTTAGTAGAGAGCTATGTAATTAGTTTACACAAGAAATCTGTCTTGGGTTGGTTGTATCTTTGTATGGCAGAAGGCTGACTGGAGCAGAGAAGAAACTGGCTTCAGTCTAACACCTTATAGCCAGACACAGTGAATGACCACCCATAACTCCAGTTCCAGGAGGTCTAACACCCTCCTTGACTTCCAGGGGCATTGCACAACACAGGTGCACTCACATACATACATACAGGCAAAACACTCAAGGACATAAAAATTAATAATAGTAAGTAAAATGTTTTTGAAAATAGCCAGGCCTATTACCTCAGCTACTCAAAAGGTTAAGACAGGATTGCAAGTTCAAGACCTGCCTGGGTTGCAGAGTAAGTTCAAGGCCACCCTGGGAAACTTACTGAGACCTTGCTTTGAAATAAGAAGAGTGGGAAGGACACATAGTTCAGTGGTAGAGCACTTGCCTAGCATGCAAGAGGCCTTAGGTTCAATCCTAAGTAAAGGAAAGTGAGCACAGACTATAAAGACCTTTTAACTTAAAATATAAACCTGTAGACATTTGTCAATTTTCTACATAGAACCAAAATTTGACTCTAAAACTGGCTCCCTAAGTTTTCTTTCTTGTGTTGGCCACAGCCATATTTCCTGCTGGTTTTGGTTCCTTAAATTTGAGCACAGTCTTAGATTCTTAGAAAGCATCTGCAGGCCAAGATCCATCTTGTTTGAATGGTTCCTTCTTGCCCCCATTAGATGTAGTATTTGCTTGACCTAGACATTTTGGCAGAAGCTCTGAACAACTAATATCCACTGAATTCCACCCAATTTTCCTCTTAATTTCCAAAGAAACAAATTTCCTTTCTATTTCTTTGTTTTATGTAATATGCATAATTTCAGAAAGAAGTACAACTAATTAGCATAATTGAGAACAAGATTGATTTTTAAAAATAATTTGTTGAGAATTTCATACAGGCATATAAGGTATTTTGATCAAATCCATGCCCACTCCCTCCCCTCCAACTCCTCCTATATCTCCATATCACTTTTTTCCGATAACTTCATATACTCTTTCTTCTTCTTCGATTAAATCAGTGCCCACTCCCTCCCCTCCAACTCCTCCCATACCTCCCATCACTTTTTTTCTGATTACTTCATGTACTCTTTCTTCTTTTTTTTAAAATGGGGCTTTTTGAACTTCTATCCTATCCAGTTATGTTACATGCTTACTAAGAATCAATCTTTTTACTTTTTTTTTCTTTTGAGTAGCAAAAAGATTGATTCTTAGTAAGCATGCAACATGATTGGATAGGACAGGGGTTCATTGTTTTTAAAAGTAACATCTTATTGGGCTGGAGAGATGATTAAGTTCAGTGATTAAGAGCCCTGGTTGCTCCTGCAGAGGACCCAGCTTTTATTCCCAGCACCCACATAATGGCTAACAACTGTCCATAACTCCAGTTCCAAAGGATTTGCTGCCCTCTACTGACCTCTGAGGGCCTCAGAAGCCCTTTTCTGACCCCTGCAGCATTGCATGACACGGGTGCACTCACATACATGCAGGCAATACACTCATACACATAAAATAAAAATAAAATTTTTTAAAATGTACCTTGATCTGAGTTACAGCGAGAATGGAAAACACTGACTAATCCATCAAATTATTAAGAATTAGTTTGGCTAAATAGTAATCAATTGAGAATTGTTAGTATAGCAGATTGATGATGTTTAAATGTAATCATTTGTGAGCCTTTCTCTACCAGTTTGTAAGGGCAAGGATATTTATAGGTTAGGTTCTTAGTGCAAATTTAGCAAATAAGTGGATGGTGGTCATATCCCCTATGTCTGTGCCTTCATATATTTTTCTCCTCTTAAAAATAATTTGCATTTAAATTTCTGTTTCGGTTACTTCCCATCTTAAAGCCTTAGCCACCATGATCCCATTACCTCTTCAAACTGTCATTTAATCATTTCAGCTGAGAAGCGTATCTTCTTAAACATCGTGTGATGTCTTATGTTTTTAGATTTGAGGTACAGCTCCTATCTTCTCTCTGTTACTTGAGGGCCAGTGTCACAGTGTAGTTTCCCAGTGCCATGACCACAGACTCTAACTAAATAGTGATGTCCACTGAAGTGTGGAAAGGCCATTTACTGGTGTGGACTTTGTGGCCAGAGGAACCACACTTTAAGTATTCATTTTATAAAGAACTTCTTTGGGCAACTGGATTCAATTAGAAAAAAATAACAGGTGGAATTTTAGAAGACATAATGCTAAATAATTTGGTATTAATAGAAACGTAGTGGTACCTGTAAAACTCGAGACTGTGACAAGGACAAAGGGATCTGAGTTCTAGTCATGATGTTGCTAATTTCTACTTCCATTCTTGGATAGATCATGAAAGCTCTCTTAGCTCTAGTTTTCTTATTCAAAATAGAGTTTTTGTTTGCTTTTTCAGCACTGTTTGAAATATCTATATTACTGATACAACTTCAAGAAATGACATTAGTCCCAATGAAAACTGAGATTTCCATGCATTAGCACAATTAGAAATGTTTTGTTTCTGGAAATAATTTAGACTGTAAGACAAGCATCTAATGTAAATGAGACCCTTTGCTGATAGAATTCCTCACTCCCACAGAGCTTTCTCTTTGGAGCTAACAAGCTTGCTAGTGGAGTGCTGTGGGGAGCTGTTGCCGCCACTCCACACACAGTTGTCAGTCTTGACTTTGGCTGTTTTTCTTAGGAACAAATTTTGTTATCATATTTTTCTAAACCTACTTGCATATGACTTTTAAATATTTAAACAACTTTGCAGAATAAGGATGCATCTGGGGGTATCTTCTTCTTTTTGGTGAGTGTCGCCTGTAGATTTCTTTGGAAGACACATAAACATAACATAATAAACCACCTGCACTGAAATAGAAGTTCCGTCGATTTTGTAATATATATATATATATATATATATATGCAAACTCAGATTCTGTTTTTAATTCTTTTTTCCTTACAGCTGCCTCTCAAGGAAGAAGCCATCGCTCTGGTGAACAGCCTCAGCATGTGTGAGTGTCCCAGAATCGAGTTTCTTCAGCAGAAATATAAGGAGGACAAGAGGAGCTTACCGGAGCACGATCTCCTCAGACACGGTACACACACAGTGTTCCTGAAATCCAGAGGCCTTTGGTTCATTGAATGCTTTCATGTCATCTTTAATACTTGGCTTTATCAATCCCAGAGACTCTTCAAATCATTTGATGTCATATTTACCAGTACATGACTTCCTATTAATTTTGCTGCACCATCAGCTAATACTTAATGAATGATTGTTGTGTATAGCCCTAAAGAAGAAGAGGCCCCTTTGTTATGTAGCTATTTCATTCAATTTATATACACTTTTAAGAGTCAGCTTGTGTTTGTGATGTTCTGTCCTAAAAGTAAACTCAGTAGGTACTTACATGTAATTTTTTAAACATGCGAAATTCACAGGAAAGAGAAAAGGGAATTGGATTGCATATAAAAAGAATCAGATAAGGCACTGAAAGGTTGGAATGACTTGTTCTGAATCATAATGTAAGATGGTAAGAAAACCCGACAGCAAAAGATACAGTGAAGCAAACGGATTATAAATGTCCTATAGGAGACAAGCTGTAGGCATTTAAATTTATTCACAGGTACTAATTAGTGTCCTCGAAGCTGAAATGTATACAAAGGTAAGTATACAAACCAACTCATAAGACGCCTCTGGAAGAGCTTACTTACAGATTGGGAGAAAAGGCCCCCTCACCATGCCTCTCTTGTCTCGCCTCTTCCTCTATTCATCCTTAGATTCTATTGGTTGTTAACTAAATGCTTATTGTGCATTAGACACTGTGAAGTTTGTGTCATCCAAACAGTTTCTCCTAGATAGTGTCTACAAATACCAATAATCACATAAAAGTATAAACTTTCAGTTATTTATTAGCCATAAATGCGACTGGGGAGATGGCTCAGCAGTTAAGGGCACTGGCTGTTCTTGCAGAAGACCTGGGTTTGAATCCCAGCACCCACATGGCAGCTAACAACCATCCATAACTCCAGTTCCAGATGGAAGGCTCCATCTAATGCCTTCTGTCCTCTCTGGACACTGCATAACATGGGTGCACTTACATATTTGCAAGCATAACACTCATGTACATAAAATAAAAATAAATAATAGCTGTAAACATTAAGTGTTAATACACACCAGCAAAAGTGTACAATAAAGAAAATAGGTAATCAGGTCAGGGATTAGGGACACCTGCTCTTTGATCTCAACCATCAAACCTGCTGAACAATGGATAGGCAGAAATTTGGTTTGTGCTCAGCCAGGAACACCTGCTGTGGTGAAAGGTGGAAATTAGTGGCAGAGTGCTTGCCTAACATGTGAAGCCTTGGGTTTGAACCCTAGCCTAGCAAGCTACACATACATACTTACTTAAGTCTGTGAGAACAGTGTTCCAGGATCCATACTGTACCTCTTCTAGGATGGCTTATAGTGAGCCATGCATGAACTATGGGTGTGCTGCGTGCAGTCCTTTCATATCATCATAATTAGATAATCAAGCTGATTATTAAATCAAGAACTGTTGATAAAACTCCCTGCTACTTTTTAAGTAATTCTTTTCCATTCTCATGGTAAGGAAAACGTCATTATGTCCTACTGTCTACTTAATCACTCTAGAATATGTTTTCCAAAATAATTAGGTTCTCCCAATTTACATTTTACATCTTGTACATAGTAAAAACAGGAATCATTTAGCAGTTTACATGAAATTGTTAGAAATTAATTTTCGTCTTTATTAACTCATAGGAAGCTCCTAAGATCTTAAGAAGCTACAGGAAAAGAAATGCTCTTCCACTTAGTATGTATGCATGTAGCGCCTGGTTCTAAGGTAGAAGGGGCTGGCAAGATGGCTCAGCAGGTAAAGGTGCTTGCTGCCAAGAACTGCTGGAATGGTTGAAAGAGGGAACTAATTCTCACAAGTTGTCCTCTGACCTCCACACACTGGCCATAGCATGCACGCTCTTGCACACGTGTGTGCATACACCTGCACACACACACACACACACACATCAAAAATAAATGTAAAAAAATGTTTTAAAAACTTAAGGTGAAGCACTTAGGAGGAAGACACTCAACGTTGACCTCTGGGCTGCACCGGCACATGTGCACCCTTCTCTCTCTCTCTCTCTCTCTCTCTCTCTCTCTCTCTCTCTCTCTCTCATTACTAAATTATTGTGTTCATTTCTATGCTTTATTTATTTATGTTTTATTTTTCTGCTCTGTAACCCAGGCTGGCGTGTAACTCACTATGTTGCTAAAGTTGGCCCCAAAATTGCAACAAGCCTCCTGCTTCTGCCTCCCAAGTGTTGAGTTATAGGAGTGAGCCACCATGCTTATCCCTTAATGCTTTGTTTACTATAGTCACGAGGTTCTTTTTTATGACTAGTTCATTTATTTAATGAGCATTTGCTAGCTCCCACTTTGAATCAAGTCATGTACTATGGAGTATGCAGTGGCAAGCACAGTGGCCAATGCCAGGGTCTCAGCCTTTACAGAACATAAGTCAAGTCTGGGGCTAATGAAAGTTATACTGTAAAATTATTCAAGTGATACACTGCTAAAAATATTTCTATTTTTTCATATTTAGGCATCCTCCTCATTGCAAAGGTTTTTCTTGGCCAGAGTGTTCAGGCTTGTGAACAAGAACCCATCAATAGAGCCAACTATCCTACAGTTGATTCCGTATTCGTTCCTCAGAGACATTTTTTAAGTATGTCTTCCACAAAAAAAATGTGCTTTTTTATGCCTCTGAATACAAAACATCTATATTTGATGTAATAGTTTATTTTTCTGTCCCCCATATCAGTATTTATGTGTTTGTAATTTATTTCAACAATTTTAATTATTATTTGTGGGGTATGTATATGTATATACTCACCCACATAGTAGACCCTCAGTATCTGTGGGGAATTTTATAGTTTTAGAGTGCACACACACACACACACACACACACACACACACAAAACCCTGTATATACAAAACTTCATACATGGTCAAGTCCTTTATATCAAATGGCATAATATCTGCATGTAATTTACAGTCTTCCTGGGTGCTTTTAAAACAATCTCCATATTGCTTACACCTAATACAATGTAAATGTGACATGCAAATTATGGCTGTACTTATTGTTCAAGGAATAATGACACATAAAGTGTACAGACACTTTTCTAGAAATATTTTTATCTTAAGTTGGTTGAATCTATGGTGCAGAACCCATGGGGACAGAGGGTTTCATGTATGAGTATGTGTTTGTGTGTGTGTGTGTGTGTGTGTGTGTGTGTGCATATAAACATATGTATAGTACTTTTTCAAGGGATTAAAAAACAACCTTTAATAAATGCTCTGGAGTACCACATATATCAAAACCCCATGACCATTTACTTAATAGTAAAGTGAAAATGTAAAAAGGCAAAAGATAAGGATAAAGTTGAATACTGGTATGCAGTAGTAGGATAGGCTATAGTACAAGGCTGTGGCAATAGAAAACTAAAAGGATAGTAATATTGGGAATTAATGTTGGGGTAGTGGGGAGACTTTTATAAAAACCTCAACATGATTTCTGGAAATTATCGATAAGAACTTATTCATCTATATTAGAGTACAAATTTATGTTATATTGTATTTTGAGTGTATGTCTTGCTTGTTTTTACTCTAGATTCTATCATAGGACAAAGAACTTGCGATTGCAGCTACCGGCAGTACAAATGGTTTGTCTTTGACCATGAGCTTGTTTTGCCAGAATACGTCGTTGAATTTGAGTATATTACAGTGGTATGAACTGCTGTATATTTTTTAAAAAAACAGAATTTCTTTAATTGGAAGTAGAATAATTTGAAACCTAGTAATGTTTGTCAAATTTATATATATATATATATATATATACACACACACATATACACATACATACACTTTGTGTGTGTGCGCTGTGTGTGTGTCGTGTGTGTGTGCTGCACAGTGACTAGTCTGTGAAGGACTTAATTTTCAAAGCATGTCATTATGACGTTTGAATGTCTTTATTATAGGAATAGTACACAGCTGTAGTCTCACTGAAAAGAACTCAAACTGTATAGATGAGCACAGAATAAACATGAAACGCTACCTTTACTTTAACCCCTGCCACATCCTTTCACCGAGGCATCCATCCACTTATCAGTTTGATGGATTTTGTTTTCAATCCTTTTTTAAAAACATATATCACTGTGTGTGTGTGTGTGTGTGTGTTTCATCTAATAGAATCAAGTTCTAAGCCTTCTGTGATACTTTCTTGCATCTAACAGTATGTTGTGGACATAGTTTTGTTTCATTGCCTATAGATGTATAATTTGGTTTTTGGTGGCTGTATATTATCCAGTAATACTTTGATTTGAAAACACTATTTCAAATGATATTTCCATGAACAGTATTATAGAGGCATTCTTGTACAAATATGGATTTTCCTATATAAGACAGAGCTGTAAAAAATAAAAGTCAAAGGATGCATGCATTTTAAACTTTGATAGCTATTACCAAGTTCTCTCCACAAAGATTTGGCCTTTTACATATTTCCAGTAAAGTACAACAGTTCTTGCCTCTTTGCATCCTTGCCAACACAATATATTGTCGATTTGTTCCCACTCTCATAGGCAAAAAGCTGGGTATTTTATTCCTTCATATGACTAAAGTTATTTATAATATTGTAAATTACCTGCTATGTTCTTTGATGATTTCTATAAGACTGTCTTTTTCATACCGATTCTTGTTCAATGATGTATTTACCTGATAATTACCTCGAGTATCTTCTTACTTTTATTTCTTTACTCTGAACATCAAGTTTCTTTGGATCTGATCTTCAAAGTGTTATCACCTACATCTGTTTTCCCTAGAAGTCACATTTCTGCTCCTAACCGCCATGTCAACTCTCTGCTTTGTGTCATCATTCCTCATCCTTTCTTTGTGCTCTATGTTAATAAACTATTTTACAATTATCCTTTGCCAACTTTAAGAAATCTTTGTGGGTAAAAATGGACACACTCGGGCTAATCTCACAATTGTCATAAACTCTATAGGTTTTCTAAAGTGACTTTGATTATCCTAGACATTACTGTATAACTAGAAAAAAGCCAGTTCCTTTCTAGACAGCCTATTCGATTGACAAATACAGCAACTGACATTTTAAATGAATTTTTTAGGCTAAAGGTCACTCCTTATTTTCAACATTCAACAGTCTTATTCTAGAAGAAAGCAAAAAATATTCTGAAGGATTAATATTGTCTCAAGATTTGAAATTTGATGATGAAGTTATGAGAATGGAGCCCAGGACTAAGCCCAGACCCAAACTTATTAGTTTGGATGATAAAACAATACTTTCCCTTGCCAAGACTAACATTTACAGCCATATTGTGGTGAGTATTGTGAGGAATAAGATTGGAGAAGGGAAACTTGAAATTGAAGTTTAAATCTAATATGTGGTGCTAGATCCTAAGCCACTACCTGATGTAGCCAGGTGTGCTGCAATGTGACTGAAAAGCATCCAGCTCCGGCCCCCCATCTCTGTGTAGATCAGTGCTCTCCAGCAGTAATGAAATGAAAGCCACATGTATAATTTTTAAAAAATACTTTATTTTATGTATATGAGTGTATTGCCTACATGTATGTAACTGAACCCGGGTCATGCAGTGCCCACAGAGGTCAGAAGAGGGCATCAGACCCCCTAGAACTGGTGTTATACACGGTTGTTAACAGTGGATGCTGGGAATCAAACCCGGGTCCTCTGCAAGAGCAGCCACTGCTCTTAATCACCGAACTCCCTCCACAAGTGTAATTTTAAATTTTCTGATGTCTGTGTGAAAGTTTTATTAGGGTAAACGCATTGTAATAATATGTTTCTTAATCAAAATATGTAAAACAGTTCAGTATGCAATCAATATGAAAACTCATTAAGGAGACTTTAATGCTGATTCTTAATTTCAGAGTGCATTTTAGATCCATAACTTGTCTTCATTCAGTCTAGCCATGTGTCAACTGATCAGTAGCAACTTGAGGTGGCTTTCCAGTTAGCAAGTGACTTTATTCTGATTAATGAATAAGCTCCCTTTATATATGATTAAGGTGGAAGCAAATGGGTTTCAAATCAGTTTCTAGTATAGAATATGGGAGCTTTATATTTACAAAATTATCAGCAGAATTTGAATTAGTTATTAAAGTGCCTTTGCACTGAGGCAACTCTACTTGATACAGTAAACTTACCTACACTTCTGACTTTCAGACCTATCAGTTTCAGATATGGTACTACCATCACGTCCAAACTGCCATTGTCTCTGAACTAAACTTCTATCAGAGCTTCTAACCAGGCCTGCTGTACTCTATCATAGCAATTCTGAAACTCTAAGAGGCATCATTCATACTGTAGTCTGATAATGTGCCTTTAAGATGCTAATCAATATATAACTAAATAGAATTCAGGACAGTGAGATGGTTCAGTCAGTGAAATCACTTCTGCTAGGACTGATGGCCTCAGTTTGACCCCCAGGTCCCATATGATGGAAAGAGAGAGCTGACTCCCACAAGTTGTCCTCTGACCTCCACAGGCATGCATTGTAGCATATACACAGACACAGAGACACATACACACACACAAATAATAATAATAATAATAATAATTGATAATAAATAAAATAAACATAGTACTATATTTTTAAAGAATCAATAGGAAAGGGGTTCCTAAAAGTATACAACAAAAACCCTGTCTTGCCCCCAATTCCTCCTCCATTGAAACTACAAATCTCAAAATGCAAATGTGATCATGTTACTTGAGTCTCACCTCCCTATTCCTACTTAAAATCCTCAAGATTTTATTTATGTGCATATATGTATGTGTATGTGCTTGTGTGAATATATGCCGTGTGTGTGTGTATGCCTGTGGAGGTAGATGCCCTCGAGCTGGAATTACAGGTGATTGTAAGCCACTTGATATGGGTACTGGGAACTGAGTTCTGGGTCCTCTGGAAGAGCAGCAAGTGCTCTTAAGCACCAAGCCATCGGTCCAGCCCCCTTTTCCAGACACCTTTTTCATCGTCTTCCCTTTGGTTCTCTGGGCCCAGCTGCTTTTGTATGTCTTAAATGCATCACAGGCCTCCTGCTTTTCTAGCTTTCCTCGTGGACCCATTTCTCCTGACTTGCTTCTTCTAATTAACCCCCTATTTCTTTTCGATCTTGATTTAAGCATTAAAGTCTTCCCTTATGTCTGATTCTAGGTCATATTCCTTTGTCATATGCTCCATGCCTTCCCTAGACTCTAAATCCTGCAGAAGTGGAGACTTTGGCTATTCCTAGTCATCTTTGCTCCCAGAGCCAGGAGAACAATATAAGATTGAACAGGGTGCATTGAACACGAGGTCACACCAGAGGAACACCTTTTAAATCATACAGTAGTATGTTTCACAACAGTTTTCTAATAACTGCTGACAAAATTCTTGCTCTAACAAAATTGGTATGCTGCAGCAATTTTTTAAAAATATTTTATTTATTATTTTTATTTTATGTGTATGTGTGTATTACCTGCATGTAGGTAAGTACACCCATGTCGTGCAATGCCCGTGGAGGACAGAAGAGGCTGTTGGATACCCTGGAACTGGATCTACAGATAGTTGTTAGCTGATGCAGCAATTTTTAAAAAGCTAGACAGAAGTATCTTGAGGAAAGGATGGGAGTATGGCTTTTTCTTTATTACCCATAAGAACTCTGGATTACCATCAGCTCCCTCCAGGAGATATATATATATAGAGAGAGAGAGATACATATGTCTATCTATCTATCTATCTATCTATCTATCTATCTATCTATCTATCTATCTCCATCTCAAAGATGGTAGGTTGTTTGCAGAAGTAATAAATCTACAAACCTTGAGAAACCAAGTTATTTTCACATGGCATTATCTTGCTCTATGTGCAGTGAATGCTGAAACACAGGTACAAATGTAGAAATAGTTTTCATCTTGGAGCTTGGTTACAATATTCCACAGCCACATTTCTAGATTCATTTCTCCAGAAGAAAATTCTCAAATGACTGTATGCAAAATAGTTTTGGAAATAAGGGAACTCAGTAGTTTTAAGTCTGTTATTTCTGAAATTATTAATTTCAGAAAACATCTTTTTCAAAGTTTTATGAGATTTTTGTGTTGGGGGAACCATCTCACATCCATCCACTGGATAGTGAAGTCTAGAGGCAGTTGACAGAGGGGACTCAGTTTTGTCTCAGCCTGTTTCATTACTGGGGGAAGAAAACTTCATAGTGTGATGACAGCATTGTCCTCTGTATCAGAAATATGCAGAATAGTAATTACAAAAGCAAACTTCTCAGTTAAAGTACTGAGAATTTTTTTTTGGTACTACAATGTCAACATGAGTGATAAATTTTTATAATAAAGTTTTAGTAATGGAATATTTTTCAAAGACGAATGTACTCTTTACTGGAGTGACCCTCTACAGCATGTGTTCCTATCACTTTCAAGGGATTGAATAAAAATTAGGAAAACAGAGCCTGGAGAGATGGCTCAGTATTAAAAGTGCTTGCTGCTCCTACAGAGGATCAGAGTTGGGGGTCCAAGAACCCACATCATATTGAGAGGCTCACAACTGCCTGGAACTCCAGCTTTGAGAGATCTGACACCCTTTTCTGATCTCCGTGGATGCCTGCACTCACATGTGCACAACACCCCCTACACACACATATACACATAATAAGCAATAAATCTTAAGTGATTAGGAAAATACCAACAGAAAATAAGAATAAGAGTTCATAACACCTTGGCCTGTTTGTGACACCCATAACACATGTAGGTTGGCTTAAATTTGCCTGTGCTGCATAAAAACCAGTAAAATGTCTAGGGCTTCCAGCAAGACTCCTAGATGTCACAGTAAGAATGTCTAGACAGTCTTCCCATTCCTTCTTTGTGCCATTCCTGCAAGAGAAACTCAGTGTGCATTCCTCTTATTTCCCTTGTGATCTACTAGATTTAAGTTTTAGGATGTCATCAGAAAACTAAATAAAATGTATAGAAGTAAAAGAGAAATAAACCCCTATAGCACATGACATTGAACAGGGACTGTCTTGAGTGAATGTCTAACGAAAGCTTGGTCTTAAATTCTCTCTCATCTTCTCCTTTGACATTCTGTCCCTCTATTTCAAGTCCCTCAGACTGTCTTCCTTAGTTCAGTGCATCTGCATGGCTTCCTGTATTCAAGGTACAGCCCTGTCAGCTCTTTTCTATCTGGTTTCTGAAAGTTTGAGGGCCTCCGTTGTTCTCTGGCTAACCAAAGAAATAGTTCCTCCCTAATATCTTAACCAGTATATTTACTCACTAAAAAGAATTTTATGCTAATTAATAAATAGACCAAGTGGGAAATAATGTCAGTCAGCCACCAGGTCCAGTAATGCTATTAATATAAACTGTTTGGAACGTTTAGCATTGCATTCTCTGAATGTTACTTAAAATAACTATGTTCTCATTTTATATTATTGTTGCTTATTTAACTCTTCTAAACACATTAGATATTCACATTTGATTATGATGCAGGATGAAATGTTTTTTATTTTCTAATTTATATTTCATTTGACTTCAGAATCTGAATCTACATGGGAACAGCTTGAGCAAACTGAGAGATCTTTCCAAGTTAACAGGACTTCGAAAGCTGAACATTAGCTTCAATGAATTTACTTGTTTAGATGATGTCTACGACCTGGTAAGAACCCCTTTTGAAATTAAAAAAAAAATCAAATTGTCAAAACGCAGAGTAGAATGGGACTACTAGAGCCTGGGGGACCCAAGTGCTCGTCAAAGGACACAAACTTTCAGTTATGAAAGTTCTGGGGAATCTAATGTACAGTATGTGTGGTGATAGTGTTCCTTAGATGCTGGTAATCACTACCATTTGATATGCATAGAGCAAATCAGCATGTTGTACACTTTGAATACAGTCAAACTGAGTTTGTCAACTTAAAAAAACTGGTGCAGCGAAGAAAGATAAAATCAAAGAACAAATGATAAATTGGAACAAATACTTTCCCAAAGAACCTTCTTCTGAAAGGGCAATATTTACCTTTATGAAAATATTTAAGTAAAGTAAAAAAGGGGATAAATTGTTTTTGTAATGATAATATATGCTGCATGCAAATTACACAGCCCAAATAGGGCATTAAGCATCCATACATTGTGCTCCCTTCTCTAACACAGGTCTTGGATTTAGATTTCATTTGCAGACCCACAGCATGCCTAAGGTCATACCTTGCATTTGGCTACTTTCAAATTAAATGTAATTTCCCAGACTTGTTTCTAAGATGTTCTTTGTGATGTGTTCTTCCTGTTTCCTGCTCCCATTTCTGTACCCTTTCTTTTCTTCTTGTGAGTCTCTGGATCTTTATTTTCTAGCTTGCCACTTCACCACTAACGTTAAGTCTCCCCATTTGCCCATTATGGATTATTTTCTTTCTGCCTTCTCCTTTCCGCCTGAATATAACAGTTCTTATTTGACTTCTGTTTGCTTTCTTTTTATGTATGTATGTATCACCATATAGCAAAAGCAATCACATATATGGTTCTAGAACTTTAGCCCCAAACTCCCATTTCCATGAGTCTAGGTCAGTCACAGACCTTTGCAGAATCTGTTCTTCTAACCTCTTTTTCCTCTCTACATCCTTCCAACCCTGCAAAGCTTTGCACTGCTTCTCCTGGCAAGATCTGTTACTTTATTGACTGGCCTTTATTGTTAAACCGCCTTCCTGGTGTCTTTGTATAATCCTCAAGCTCTTAACTAGAACCCCTGACAGTCTGAGCTCCATTCAGAACTGAGGGAAGAGGGCCTTTAGTTAGAGGTCTCAGACTGTATGTAGACTGTATTTTTAATTTAATTTTTTTTCTAACAGCTTGTTAGCTACCCCAAAGACTGTCTCAGACATTATTGTATTTGCTTGGGCACAAACTCAAGGTTATAAACTTTAAGTCATGCAAGGCCCTTGGACAGTAAGTGAGCTTAGAGAGCTGCCCGGTATTTATTTCAAAAAGTGGTCTTGCTCTCTTTTTCTTTAATGTAAAAGTTACTTCACCATCACAGCTCCACAGCCACATTGCTGGATGACTAGCCTGTAGGCATTTTGGAGATAAGAGAGCTGGGTAAAGTCTATGCAAAGTGATGTATTTTAAGTTTTAGAACTAGCAAATGTGACTAGATAGCTCTTAAATATCAAATATCCAACATGTGCCTTTGAAAATGACTGCATGGGTGTTAAAGGTAGCAGAAAGGAGATACTCTACATAAGTATAAATGTGTATTTTAGGAATCATTTTATTGTAAAGTAAAATGAAGATACAGAAAAATAACACAAATGTATGACTTAGAAAGTTGTTGTAAGGACAGCATGCTCAGAAGCAGCATTCACATCCAGAGAGCTTTGCTGCCTAGGGCAAAAGCCCGGTTGATGCAACTGCCTTTCTCCCCTCATGAGAAATGACTGCACTGACCTTTGTAGAATCCTCTCCCTGCATATTTTTCCTCATTGTTCTGTCATCAAAGTTTACATTCCTGCTGTAATTTCTGCCATTTTTAAAAAATGTGCCTTTCATTTTTGGCAATCAGCTATTTTATTTCTAATAGTTTATTATTGATTTTGAGGCACCATATAAATGGTATAAAAATAGAAACCATAGGCAAACAACAAAACATGTTCTCACCACATAGGAATTTTATATAGAATGTCTAGGTCCCTTTATAGACTTCCCTCTGCTCTGATGTCCTTCCTCATTGTTTAAAGATGTCAGCACCACAATTAGCATCATCCTTACTCATGTCTGTTGTGATGTTACAACAACTAGAAGCTTAAAATTCCTAGTGCAAAGTTTAAGACAATTATAAAGATCAGTGTATTAAATACGATGTTATTATTAAGACATTTGGATAATATATAATGCTGTGTGAACATTTTAAAAGCCTGGCTGGAGAGCTGGCTCAGCCGTTAAGAGAATGTATTGCTCTTCCAGAGGACCTGAGTTCAATTCCCAGCACCCACATCAGGCAGCTAACAACCACCTGTAATTCCAGCTCCAGGGCATGATACCTCTGCCCTCTGTGGGCTACAGTATTAATGTGTACATACACATGCACAGACACACACAAAGACACACACACACAGACACACACACAGATATGCACACATAATTAAAAATTAAATTAAATTAAAAAAGAAAACATCAAAAGCATATAGAAAGATAAGAAAATATATATGCATTTAATAAAAACCAGTTCTCAATTCCTTCCAGCAACAGATACTTATGCTTTCCAGTTTTTTCTTTTCATGTATTAACTATTTTCCAAGCTTTCAATAAATAATGTTTTAGTTTTATTATTTTAAAAAATTATTCAAAGCTGTGTACTCTTTTGTTTAATATGATGCTAGGGATTGAGCTTAGGGCCTTGAAAATGCTAAGCAAGCACTCTACCACTAAGCCTTCTTTTGACTTTTTATTTTCAGACAGGTTCTTGCTGTGCTGTCCAGGCTGGCCCTGCATGTCCTCTGTAATACAGACAGGCCTTGAACTTGTGGTTCTCCTGCTGTGTTCTTGGATAGCTGGGATCCCAAGCCTATGCCACGAGGCTCAGTTTGTAAAACTGTACTCCCCTTTTTTAAAATTAATAAAATATATTTTATCAGTAATTATAAAAAAACTACAGCACACAGAAATTTTCAAACAATGGAAAACATAATTTTAAAAAATTCAGATCTCAATAAGAGATATTTAAAAAGGAAAATCATGGAATAAATTTAGTAAATTTAATTTCTATATCTAAAGACGAACTTTTAAAAAATATTTATTATTTTTATTTTATGTATATGAGTGTACTGCCTGCATGGTAGTAAGTATATTCATATCATGCAATGCCTACGGAGGTCAGAAGAGGGCGTCAGATCCCCTGGGACTGGAGTTACAGACAGATGTTAGCCATCGTGTGGGTGCTGGGAATCAAACCTGGGTCCTCTGCAAGAGCAGCCAGTGCTCTTAATTGCTGAGCCATCTCTCCAGACCCTAAAGATGAACATTTTATGAAGCTCTTGTTTCAACAGTATAAATCAGAGCCTAGGTATGAAGATGTGTGTCTTGCTTGATGGAGACAAATTATCCTACGTGTGTCTTTTGGAACAGAAAGCACTCCTGCTCTTCTGCATTCAAGGAGATCGAAGACCTACACTGCCACTGCCTCTGTATTCTTCAAGAACTGACTTTGTATGTGTGCTCAACAGTGCTTATGCAGCACTGTAAAAAGTTATGCTATAATTGTACAAGTCACTCACAGTTCCTCTTCTTCTAAGATTATCATTTGCCCTGGGATAGATCATGTGTGAGATTAAAGCCTGATTGAGAGAGAATTACTGAAATGAATGCCCTGTGGTCACTGGAAGGCTGAAGGCATTGTCACCCTTACCACAGCATGACTACCCTGTAGGTTCTCTGTGAGTATTAATAAGAAAATGTATTTAGGGGCTGGAGAGATGGCTCAGCAGTTAAGAGCACTGACTGTTCTTGCAGAAGACCTGGGTTCAAATCCCAGAACCCACATGGCAGCTAACAACTGCCCGTAATTCTAGTTTCAGGGGATCCGACAGCCTCTTCTGACCTCCGCGGGCATTGCATGACATGGGTGCACTTACCTATAGGCAGGCGATACACACATATACATAACATAAAAATAATAAATAAAAAAATTTTTTTAAAAAGAAAATGTATTTAAAGAACCAGAGAAAAGAACTTGGTAAGCACAAACCATAACTCTCCACATTGCTTCTGCCCGCATGTACTGCAGTGTAACCTTGAATATTTGGACGCCAGCCATAACCATGTGATAACCCTGGAGGGATTTAGAGGTCCGATGAAACTGAAACATTTAGACTTGAGCTGGAATCAGTTGAAAAAAACTGGCGATGAAATAAATATGCTATGCAAGCACACCACAAGTCTTCTCACTCTGAATATTCAGCATAATCCCTGGCAAAAGGTATGTAACAGACATCTTTGCAAGAAAGGAAATGGCTTTATTTCCAAGCCATTTTCTCGCTACTTTGCTATTTAGTAGAAGACAGAAGTAGGCAGGCCATGCCCATTTTTTTTACACTTCCCTTGAAACCCTTTACAAGTTGAATTTAGGGTAGTGATCAAATGAATTAAATTGACTACAAAAAGCCTGTAATGTCATGTCAGATTTTTTGCAACTAATGAAAGTTTGGAAGCATTATTGTTTTAAGAGTGACTGATGTCATTACCATTCACAAACCCCCAAAGTTCATTTATCTGTGTGCCACAACCCTGATGCAATGGCACATGGGAACCAAAAATAATATGTTGCAGAAGGAAGCATATCGTTAAGGAGGAATATCACTTGATTTATAATATGTCATATGCATTGCTTAATAAACATGTAATTGTACTTTGTAATTTGCAGTATTCTCTTTGGAGTATAGAAAACACATCACCTTCATAAACCTACATTATGAAGTCATACTCTGTTATAGGAAGAGAATTTTATTGAACATTATTTTTATCATCATAAAAATGGAATTTCAATATTCAATATTATATTTAAGGATATCTCCAAGTCTTTTAAATGAGCCCAAATTTATAAATCTAAGGATTTTCTTTTTCTGCTTCTAAAATGTACATAGAGCTAGGCTTTGCCCTTGAGAGGTAGAGGCAGGAGAATTGCCAACATGGGCTACATAGTAAGTTCTAGGCCAACTTGAGCTATGTAGAGACCACATCTCATAGGTAGATAGGTAGATAGATGATGATAGATAGATAAATAGATAGATAGATAGATAGATGTAGATAGAAGATAGATAGATAGATAGATAGATAGATAGATAGATAGATAGATAGATAGTGGATAAATGCAAACGTAAAGCTATGTTCATTGTTTTAAAAGGATTAATTAAGTGATTGGTTCCATTAAATGGGCCATATTACTAAATTTATAATCACTGAATTTCTTCTTTTAAGCTAGGTAAGACAGAACAATACTTTTTTTTTTTCTGGTCTTTTTGAGACGGTCTCCCTGTAGCCCCAGCTGTCCTGGAACTCACTATGTAGGCCAGGCTGGCCTTGAACTCACAGAGACCCACCTGCCTCTGCCTCCCAAGTGCTGGGTCTAAAGGCATGTGCCACCTTGCCCGGCTCAGAACAATACTTTTATTTTTCCAAAGCAGACTTCTTGAATGATCTTGTCTCCCCGTTGCCCAGGTGGATGTCTAGAGCATAGAGACCCCTGTTGAGTCCCACATAGAGCTGCTAGCTGAAGAGATAAATAGGACTTCTCACATTTGTTCTTCTAACCCTTTTCACCACAGTCAGTTTCAACAGCTCCTGGGATTTCTCCTCATCAGAACAATAGAATCATGCCTTGAAAACAAAACAGATTTCTTTTTATGCAATTTAACTCCAACTGCTAAAAGATTAAAGTAAGCCTTTATTTTTAGAAATAAGAAGAGATACATAATTTTGAATTATACAAAAATGAATGGAAAGATGCTTTCCTATGCCATAATATATGTAATATTTGATGAAAACTAACTTACTGGTATTTTTCCCAAGGGAGCCACATTGAGGTTGAGTGTCATTGGCAGATTGAAGAGTCTCACACACTTAGATGGACTTGCCATTTCTAAAGAAGAAACAACAGCAGCCATGAAATTTATTGCTGGAACAAAAATTACTCAGGTTGGCTTTTATTTGGGACATACCAAAAATATCTCTCAAGCTCATTTGCTTTCACTAAGATTTTACATTCTCTCCTAACATACTAATAAAAATTAGTCCATAGTGATCTTACCTCCTGACTATGTTTCTGCTCAAATGTATCCCCATTTAAATACCAACGGGCTATGTAGATTCTCTTGCTGTAGTCCCCAAACATGACTCCCCAAATGTCTCTAGAGCAATTTTTTCCCTAGTGACGTACAATTGCCAGAGTCCATTCTAGAGCCTATATGAAGATATGCAGCTTCCTGAGTATGAGGCAAGCTTAGGAGGTTTTGAGAGAGATTTTAGCAAGTTACCTATTTAGTACTGATATTGTATGTGACTGGCTGCAAGCAACACACCTAACCTGTTAGCCTGTGGGAAAGAGAAATACTTATATTACACAGATTAAGAATGTTGTACTTTGGAGGCTACAGCTATGGATTAGTGGTAAAACATTTGCACAGCATGAGTTTGGCCCTGAGTTTGATCCCCAGCACTGAAAAAAAGCTATATTTTAGCCAAAAGAGCTTCAACATCTTAAATATCTCTAATTATCTAGCCCTTTACTTTTTGTGGGTTCTTGAATACTAATTCTCTAAACAATATAACAATTAATTTTGATTCTATTCAAAATGAAGAGAAGAAACCTTTTGTTTATAAAAATATAATTAATCTCAGACTAAAGAGATGGCTCAGCAGTTAAAGGCACTGACCACATGGCAGCTAACAGCCATCCGTAACTCCAGTTCCAGGGGATCTGACACCCTCTTCTGACTTCCTTGGGCATTGCACGACATGGGTACACTTACATGCAGGCAATACACTCATTCACATAAAAATAATAAATAAAATATTTAAATATGTATATAATTAATCTCCTGAAAAAGGCTTAGAGAACTACCCCAATAGAAATCAAAGCCTTCTAAAAATTTTATAATGTGATATTGGCACCAAATTAGAAGGTAGACCAACAAAACAGGGCAAAGGCTTGATGGAGACACAAACTCTGGGGAAACATAATAAACAAAACTGCTTTTGATATCAAAAAGGATACTCAATGGAAAGTACTGAGACTTAAGATATCTCTGCAAAAGGCAAAACCCAAATTGTCTTAGAAGAAAGTATCAGACGTTATCCTTGTTGACCATGGACTAGCAACACATTTATTAAGACAGAAACAAAGGGCAGAATCATGAAAGATGGGTTTGTCTAAAGTAAAGTTGATACAGCTTTTCCTTAAAGGATACTGTAAGAAGAGAGAAATAGACTCGGGTACTAAGGAGCCAAGTGTAACCAACTGTGACTAGTAATAATCAGATACATAGAGATCAAAGACACATGTGCAAACATCTGTTAGTAGCATTAAAAATATAGGAAACAAAATATTTTTAAATGAAAAATGAATTTTTCTGCATGAAACTGTATGTTAATGATGAAATGGATATCTTTTTTAAAGGTTAAAACCTCGTTTAATTTTATGTCTTATAACGTTTATACTGAGTACAATATTGAATAACTGTATTAATTCAACTGTGAACCTAACATTTTACAGCCAATTTTGAAAGAGATGCATCTTTGCTCTGGAAATTATTATTGAATATGTTAAAGCTGTAATGAAACGCTTCTAATCATGTGGTTATTAAATTAAAAAATTAAAAAAAATCTGATCAAAAACAAAACAAAACAAAAAAAAAGAAAGAAAAGAGAAACAGATATGCAATATACTAGGGAAAGAAATGTATAAGTGTCAAAAGATAGTTTCTTCCAATAACCAGAATATGTGCAGAAAAAAGACAACCAACTAAGCAAAAATGCAAGGAACAGATATTTTACTGGAGAGGAAATGAGAACAGTCAACTGATTTAGGAAAAAATGCTTTACTCATTGGTATTCAAGAAAATGGACGTTCAAACCATAATAACCTGCCGATTGCCAGTTTTGCAGACTGGCCAAACAATTAGAGCCTGACAATATCAAGTCTCAGCCAGAATATCAAATAACAGTTATAATTGTTACAATCACTTTGAGAAGGCAATTTAACATTATACACATACACACTCACACTCACCACACACTTCTGTAACCCAACAATTTTGCCCAGGGTTATACACTCTGAAGAGTGCATGGACATGTATGTATGTATGTATCAAGAGTCATGCACCAGGATAGTCATAGTGGCAGTGTTCTTCATCAAAAACCATGGTGTCAACCCCAATGCTCATTGTCTGGAGAGTAATTAGAGATTTCTACACAGGGCTGGGAATGCAGCTCAGTCAGTAGAGTGCTTGCCTGCCATGCACAAAGCCTTGGAAGTTCAATCCTCAGCACCACATAGATCAGACATGGTATGCACATCTATAGTCCCAGCACTTGGGAGAAGAATCAGAAGTTTGTGGTCACCCTAAGCTAAATAAGAATTCAAGCCCAACTTGGGCTACAAGAGACCTTGTCTCAGGGGTGGGGGAAAGACAGGAGAGAGAGAAATAGAAAAGTAGAGAGTACTTTACACCAGTGGCATGTGAATTAACTACGGCTAAATGCAAATGCATTAGAACCAAAAGAGCAAGTCAGAAAAATACGTACTACTTGGATTCCATAAAGTTCAAATAATGCAAAGCTTAATGATATGTTCTTTATGGATATAAACAAGATTACAGAGAAAGCAAGTGAATGGTGGACAAAAATACTGAAATAGGGAAAGATAGGAAGAGGCATAGGGTGGGAGCCCAGAGGGCGCTTCTGGGAGGGCAGCACTATTCTAGGTCAAAGCTACTCTCATAAGTAGATTATTGCGATGCCTTTATTATTTTAAGCTATAAAGGCTCAATATCCACAAAAACAATAAAAAAGTGAAAATAAAAATGTATCTGTATTTTGAAAATATTTTAAGGGAAAGGAAATTACCTGTTTTAAAATCTTTTATTGGGCTATTTGTCTTTCCTAGGAAACAAGATTTCTTAGCTCTGTAGACGTGAGCATCTGTATGTTATTTCTTTTATTCATCATATTTTTTATTTTATTAGTTATCTATTTTACAGCACTCTAGTTCTGAAGATGAGAGACCATGGATGCTTAGTACGTGGCCTTCTGCCAAAATTCTGACACAGATTTCAAAGTTAAGACTGTATTTTCATCCAAGTGGGAACTGGTTCTTGAAGGTAAAGGCTAATTATATTAAAACCAGTATTAGCTTAATTTAAATTGGTCTTGTATTCATCCTTAGTCTGTGAATCATAAAGAGGATACAGATAGATACGGAGCAGAACATTTGAAAGATGTGAGTTCAAATAAAATAGAACACCTAAGGTATCTCTTCTTATCAAGTGTCAAGTATATAATACAGCATTTTCATCTACAATCATAACATTATTCTTTGGACCCCCAGAATTTCATTTATCTTGCAAAGCTGAAACTTTGCACCCCTTGGTCATCACCTTCCTGTTTCCCCCGTCTCCAGCCTGGGAAATCACCGGTCTTTTCTCCACCTCTATAAGTTTGATATTTAGATTCCACCTATTATAATTAAGATCACACAGTGTTTAATTTACAGTGCATGACAATCAGATCAAATGGCATGCCTTACGTATGTATAATCTTAGTCAATTATGCCTCAGTGAAGTTGGGAAAATGTAATAAGCAATGTACTACAACAACAACAACAACAAAGGACACGACAAGGCCAAGTTCTGGATAGATATCATGGGGGCTGGTCCTCAACCATGGTTACCATGGAATTGGAGATTTGGGATAAAGGGAGGCTCTAAACTCAAGGGTAGATTTTGGTACTGTGTTTTAGCCAACTTTAAAGGCTCAGAGCAGAGGTCAAGTCAAAAGTCTGAGGACAAGGGATCAGGATTCTTGGTGGGGAAATTACCCAGGAAATTACCCAGGCCTCAGTCAGGGATAAGGGGAAGTCACAGAGCTCTGACGACTTCTTGTGGCATAGGATCACCTGACCACTTCAGAGTCCTTTCCAAAGTTTACATGAGAGATAGAAACAAGGTTAAGAGAAACTTTGAAGATGGAAAATACTAGTGGCATTAGTTTTGTTATGTGATATCTGTTGAAATTAGGGCCAATGAAAGCCTTGGCTATCCCAAGGTCTGGAATTAGAACGGTGTTTTAAATTTGTCCCAAGAAGGACTGAGATGGCCAGGCCTTTAGACCTCTCCACAATTGGTAGTGGACAAAGCTGGAAGGGGCGTGACCCAGGGCAAAGTGGCTCTGCAGCTGAGGCTGTCCCTCAAGGGACTAACAGCCAAAAGCTCTGTGCCAACAGCTCTCCAGCAACTGCATTGGGAACCTGAGTGGCATATCACAGTGTCCTTAACACAATAAACATCCCAGTTGGAGTCTTGTCAAGTTTGCACTTTGTTGTAAACTGAGAGCTTCTCAGTGTTTTAGTCTGAAGGAATTCTAGCATTTATGTACCACATTTGAACTGTTGTTAGTTTTTTAAATCTAATAACATGAATTGAATTTATTTGCAAGATTCAAAAGTAATATAAAATATGAATTATTGTATAGATAACTGCCTTAAATTTAGATGGACAGAATCTCTTTGAAATCACAAATTTAGAAAAATTGGAAAATTTGAAATGGGCATCGTTCAGCAATAATAACCTCACTAAAATGCAAGGCTTGGAATCCTGTGTTAACCTGGAAGAGCTCACACTGGATGACAACTGTATCTCAAAGATAGAAGGTAAAGTCCTTGAGAGTGACGTCTGAGGCCAATGCCCAAACACGAGCAAAAGCTTAATAACACTGTGGTCAGATTTTCTAAAGGGGACGATGTCTAGGGAAACTTTGAGAAGGCTTATGGGAGCTTCTTCTGAATGCATGTTGGCAGGATTGGTGATGAACTAAGTACAACAAGCTCAGTAAGCTGACTTTAACATCCTAAGCCACCCTCCTCCCTGGTACATCTATTACCAAACCTAGCATGTAGAAACTGGGGGTTCATAAATGTCTGTAGCATTGATTATATGTGTTGGTGAGGCATGTTGGTAAATATCAAACAGCCCAGTTCATTTTGCAAGACATGAAATTAGGTTATATTTAGAATTTGAAGACTAATAAAAATCAAGATTATATTTATTGAAAATTGAATGTTCTGTTTACTCTTCTCAGACTCCACTTACAAAATACAATTAAGCAACCTTAATAATGTCTCCATCATAATGAGATGAATACATTTTGACTACTTAAAGTTCAATATTAAAACTTATTTTTCCCTGCCAAAGAGGAAAGAGAAATTTCCTTCCTCCTCCACCATATTTCCTAGAGTCTCCACTTCATTTTGGTTTGTGCTAATCTGCAGCTAAAAATATGACATTAGAGGACACATTATGGGATATACTAAATTAAATATTCTCTGGCTCCTCAACTTCTAGTCCTACCCTCATTTAATACGATGAATCTGGAAAAAAATTAAAAGAAACCTATAACTTGCTTAAAACTTCCTCCTATTCTTCCTTTTTAAAAATCATTCCATTTGATTCTACAACCCCTTAGAAATAGGTTTCAGCATGTCCCTTTTAAGGATGAAGAAATGGAGGCGCAGGGTTACATCATTTTCCTGTAGCCCAAGCCCAGTAGTAACCCATTTGAAGCCAACTATGACTCCAAAGTTCTTATTATTCATCTGGGTGTATGAGGACACATGCCAGTAATTGCTCTGAAGTCCGAGGCAGGACATTTGTGAATTTGAGGCCAGTCTGAGCTACATAGTGAGACCCTGTCTCAAAAAAGAAGTCTCTTCTTTGAACTGCTCTATCATGCCCACATGCTTGTACACTGCCAGTGGTACCTGATAAACATCAGGGTTAGATTCTGCTGGGAATTGCTACTTCTAAACTTCTGGAAATACTGCCAAGTATATAATGTGAGAATTAGGTTAAATGGCTGTCTTTAATACAGCCATTTTAATACAGCTGATTCCATGATTTCTAGAGTGTTGTACTCTGGTTTCTTATCTTTAACATTACTTAATGGAGACTGGTGATTATTTTATTTTTAATGAAATTGTTTCCTATAAAGTGCCTTTCCTTTACACCTAAGAGGAATGAATCTACTTAGAAATTTTGTACCAAAAGTTGATATATGGATGGGAATTCACAGGATTGTGTCTCCTAAAATCAAAGGACAGCAATAATTGAATGAGAGATACTGTAACAGAGTCCTTGAAGATGATTAGGCCTATAAAAGAGTACAATAGGCCAGCCTGTCACTTTTTAAATTAACCTTTCAGTGTTGTCTGAACCTCTTCTTGAATTTGCATATTTTCTAGGCATCTCCAGGCTGACTAAATTAACCCGCCTCAGCATAAATAATAATCTTCTCACTGGCTTGGAAAAGCATACTTTTGATAACATGCTCCATCTCCACTCCCTTTCTCTTGAGAACAACAGAATCACTTCACTGAGTGCTTTACAAAAAACATTCACTCTAATTGAGTTGTACATAAGCAATAACTATATTGCTGTGAATCAAGAGATCTACAATTTAAAGGTGACTATCCAGGGTAACAATTTTTTACTTTAAGACCATTTACTGTTTATACTATGGAAGCAAATGTAAATTATGCCAATCTAATATATTATTCTGGTAACTTTATTTGCGTATATTAATCGTACCAATTAATTTGTTTCATTACGGCATGTTCGTGGTGCACATAATGTGCGTTGGTCATAGTCATCCCCTTTTATCACCTCCTCACCCCCTCTGCTCTTCCTCCCTTTCCTCTTCCACATCCTTAACTGCCCCTCTTTTACGCTCATGCCCTTTCCTCCTCCTAGTCCCCACACATGAGAGAAACTGTGCAATTCTTGTCTTTCTGAGACTTGCTTGTTTTCCCTGAACATAATGATCTCTAGTTCCTGCAAATGGCATAAATGTGTTCTTCTTTACGGCTGAATAATGGCTACAGTACCACATTTTCTTCACCCATTCATCCATTGACAGGCACTGAAACTGACTACGGAACTTAGCTGTTAATGAATATGGGTATTCGGGTATCTTATCTGCTAGTAAGCCCATTCCAGCTGGGGTGGAGTTAGGGCTACACACTCAGAAGCAGTGTAGTTGCGTCATATGATTGTTCTAATTTTAATTTTATCAGGAACCACTATACTAATTTCCACAATGGCTGGACTAATTTACATGCCTATCAATTATGTATAAGGATTTCTTTTCCCATACATCCTTGCCAACATTTATTTTTGCTGTTTTTTATTGTTTATTTTGTTTCCTTGATGTTAGCCATTCTGGATGGGGATAAGATGGAATCCCAGTGTAGTTTTATTTTGCATTTTTTTGATAGCTAAAGATGATATTTCTACATAGTTTTCTCCTGTATTTTTATTGGTCATTTGTGCTTCTTCATTTGAAAAGTGTCTGTTTAGTTTATTTGGCCATTTTTTGAAATTTTTATATATTCTTACTGTTAATTCAGATTTTCTCCCCCTCTTAGACTGCCTCTTGTCTCTAGTAATTGCTCTTTTGCTGTGAAGTCTTTTTAACTTGGTGCAGTCCTGTTTGTCAGTCTTGTCATAATTTCCTAAGCTATTAGAGTCCTATTCAGAAAGTCATTCCTTTGCCTACATTTTTAAGTATTTACTTCATTTTTTCCTCTAGTAGTTTTAGAGTTCCGGGTCTTACAATATGATTTTTAAATCCATTGTGTGTGTGTGTGTGTGTGTGTGTGTGTGTGTGTGTGTGTGTGTACAGCTTGAGAGATAGGTTTCGGTTCTTTCTTCTACATAGGGATATCCAGTTTTCCTAGCATCATTTGTTAAAGAAGCTTTTTCCAGTGTATATTATTTGGTATTTTTGTCAGCAGTTAGATGGCTGTAGCTGCATGGGCTTGTTCTTAGATTTCTATTCTATTCTGTTGCTCTATCTGAGTACCGTGCTGAGGTATTTGTTTGTTTACTATGGCTCTTTAGTAGTTTGAAGTCAAGTGAGGTAACTTTTTTAATGCTCAGATATAATAACACATACAATTCCTTCTAACACAAGTGCCCTCTTCAACAGTTCTCAAGATTCCCAAACCTGGTATGGGAGTAGAATTCTTTAACACTGTTCTGTTCCCAGTACAAACTCTCTATAATCACCTGTTGTTTTTGTCAGCTTCTCCAATTATTTCTGATCAGTGTCTTTGTTTGTTTGTTTGTGTTTTTGTTGTGTATTGTTTTGTTTTGTTTTCGGTACTGGACTTGGGATTGAACCTAGTCTCAGGCACGATGAGCAAGCCCTCTATCACTAAGCTATATGTCCCCGGTCTTTTATTCAGATTTGTTCCCTTTAATTTTCCTAAAGAAACCACTAACTCAAGATGGTATAGCAGACTTTACTAAAGGTTTGAACAGAACAAAGTTTCTACAGTACAAATTGTGCCAGTGTAGGAATTTGCTTTATGTGTAATGTGTGACTTCATCTCTGAAGCTCCTAGTGGGTAATGCGCTGACTTCTTTTGCTGGGACTTTATCTCCTTCCAAAAACTGTGCCATGTCCTGTCTTTCCTTATATTCTGCCTTCTCCCTATCCTACTGCCTCAATACAACTTCTAAAGCTATGGAAGCAACCTAATTATCAGCTGTGTGAGAGGCAAAATAAGCCATCTTATATGATGATGTGGAGAAGTTTGACTCCCTCTCTTATCCACACCTACTCAGGGCCTTCCCTTTACAGAAAAAGCACCTCAAGGTGTCGTATAAGAAGAGAGCATATTTTCACTTAAGATTCATTCTCCTACCTTTTTAGATCACTAAAGCACTTCAGGTTTATCTCTCCTCAAATGGCAGTGTCTTTCATCCCTGATATGTCCTCCTGTACACAAACATACCATCTGATAGGACATTATTATTCCATAAGCAAAGTGTATTGTCTTAAACATATGCATGTTTTCTCTGTGCCTTTACCATTGAAAATACATTATTACTAGTATCCTAAAAGGGATTATTATCTTATAGCATAGACCATAGTAATACTATATCTTAGTGGACTGAAGAGAAATCCTTATATATAATGGTATATTCACAAACACTTAAATTCAGCCAGGCCTGGGTGGCATATACCATTAATCCCAGCACTCAGGAGACAGAGGCAGGTAGAACTCTGAGATCAAGGCTAGCCTGGTCTATATAGCGAGCTGGGGCTACAGGGAGGCTGTATCTCAAAACACCAAAAAAAAAATTTATAACTTGCTGGAGTGTATGAGACAGATATATACAGAGAGAATGAGAGAGAGAAACAAATGTATATATATATATATATATGCACAAATGAATGTATTTTTATTACCTAGGGTTTATACAATTTGGTCATTCTAGATATGTATGGAAACACTGTTATATGGAACCAAGAAAACTACCGGTTGTTTGTAATATTTCATCTTCCAGAACTGAAAGCCTTGGATGGAATCTCAATTGTAAATTCTTTTATGAATCATAGCATTTGATCTACACTGTATATTTATATACTCACAAGTCATAAGTATTTTTAATATTGCTTTACCTCTAGTATTATACTGAACCTTACCATGATAATTAAAATCTAGATCTCCAAAGCTCATTTTAGATCTGGATTTTCCAATTTTCTCACCTGCCCAATTCTTAATCTAACTTGAGACAGAAAGACAGGGAAGAGGATTCTTACACTTGTATCCAATGAATTCAGTGTCTCAAAAGTGGAGAGATGGCTCAACAGTTAAGAGCACTGGTTGCTCTTGCAGAGGACCTGGATTTGGTTCCCAGCACCCACATGGCAACTAACAACTGTGCATAACTCCAGTTCCAGGGGGATCCAACACTATCTTCTGGCCTCCATGGGCATTGAATGCATGTGGTGCACTTACATACAGTCATGCAGAACACTCATAAACATAATATAAAAATAAATTTTAAAAGTTTTTTAAAAGAATTTTCATTTAATACCAGTGTTTATAACAGTAGAGGAAAGAACAGTAAAAGAATACCAGAATATTCCAGGAGTAAAATATTGAGAATGAACCAGGAGGAGGTGAATTTTATTTATTTATTTTTCAATATTTTGTTATTTTTTATTTTATGTGTGAGCGTATTGCCTGCACGTAAGTAAGTGCACCCATGTCTTGCAATGCTGCGGAGGTCAAAAGAGGGTTTCAGATTCCCCTGAAACTGGAGTTAAGGATGGTTTGTAGCCGCCATGTGGGTTCTGGGAATCGAACCCAGGTCCTCTGCAAGAGCAGTCAGTGCTCTTAAGCACTGAGCCATCTCTCCAGCCCGGAAGAGGTGAATTTTAAAACAGAAAGCTGAAACAAAAAACGGGGGGGAATTGACAGAATTCACCAATCCAAAGGAAGCAAACAGGAAAAGGTTTCTGCATAAGTTCACAACAGCAGAAGTGCTACCATGGAAACTGGGGTTCCCTTTTTGCATCATAAATATTTTAAATATTTATCTCTAGTATTATACTGAACCTCACCATGCTAATTAAAATCTAGCTCCTAGTCTCATTGGTAGAATTTAGAAGTGGACTCAGTGGGAAGCTCGTGGACAATTTTATTAGGGTTTGAGAGATATCAGTAGGGTGGGCAAGCTTGTCACATTGGGAGGAGAGCTAGGGAGAAGAGAAAGAGAGAAAGCCATGTCTTTTGAGAGGTAAGCATGTTCAGCTGTGGAGGTTAGCAAGGTGTGCTGCAGTAAGCAGGTGCATTTCAAAAGGGGAGAAAGAGAAGGAGTGGGAAGCCAAGAGTGCCAGAGAAAACATGCTTAGGCACTGGCCAGTATCCAAAAGAAAGAGATGAACAAGAAGAAAAAGGGAAGGTCACATTTTTCGGGGTGGGGGTGAGTAGGTCCATTAGCTACTGCACTAAGGGTGAGGGTTCTGGGAAGGAAAAGCATTAAGAGGATAATTATCACCACCACCACCCCCTTCTCTTTAACATGACTTTAAGCAAACAAGCCTTCCTGAGGAGTGGTCTCTAGGTCAGGTGATTGACAGGTCCAGCTGAATTAACTTTTAAGGTAGGAGACACTGATACATCAGGTCTCCACCCAGAACCAGAGTCTGAGTCTATTAAGGAGCTTTCCTTTAATGGGCCTCACAGAGCCCTGATATCCTCTAAGACTATTGTAACAACAGGTACCATAATGTAATATGAGTAGAGGAAAAAAGGAGGCTTCAGGAATTAAATGACTACTTTCTGAAGTAGTACATTTTATAAGCTATCAGATTATCTGGAACTGGAGAGAGGGCTTAGTGGTTAAGAACACTGGCTGCTCTTGCAGAAGATCCAGCTTCAATTCTCAGCACCCACATGGTGCTAACAATTGTCGGTAACTCTAGTTCCAGGGGATCTGCTACCCTCTTCTGACCTCTTTGGGCATTGCATGACACAGGTACAAGAATCTACATACATGCAGGCAATACACTCAAATGCATAAAATAAAAATAATAAATAAAAAATATTTTTAAAAAGATATTAGCTTATCTAACTGGAGGTGTCAAGAAGGCAGTTAAACTCACAGAACTAAATCTGGATTTGGAAGTTTACTTTTTTTAAACTTTAGAAATAATTTGAAGCGTTGACAGTTAAACTGAAAGTGTATATATGATTGTCTAAGAAAAAAGAGAATGCAAGGAAGTACAAGTAAGGCTTTACTATTTCACTTAGGAAGCTTAAAATGGAGGGAGGGGAGTAATGAAAAGTGGGATCAGGGGAGCTGGAGGGGCAACACAACCCTAGGAGTTTCAAGACATAAATGAATGTCATGAATGACCAAGCCAGTTAGTTTGTGGTAGCTTATGGGTGAGTCCAGGAGCTCAGAGAAGTTATGTGGCTTGTCCCAAGCCAGACAAGTCTTCGTTTACTCTAAAGAATTAGACTGTGAAGAGCTAAAGAACTATCTAGGGAGTTGTACTTTGGTTTTATTTGCTCTTCCTATTCGTATCTTGAAAAATCATTTTGCATGCAGAGTATATAAATACTCCCATTTCAAACATAAAGTCTTAGTGGGTTAGGAATATGGGAAGGAGCTTTAAGTAAATGTAAATCAATTGAATGACTTACCAGTTTTATCTGAAATAGGTTGTCACACTGAGGCTCTGGGGACAAATGTTCGGGTATGGTGTTTTCAATGCTAAAATTTATGTTTCACTGTTTTTCATATCTTTTGTCTATTTCCTGGTGCCTTTTAATTTTCTTACTGATAATTTCTGGATTTGGGGTTTTGTTGTTGTTGTTTCAAGTATATCCATAAATATTGATGTGTTTTTGCAAGGACTCAGTTGCCAGATATGTGTGTCTGTGTTGTTTCTGAACTAGTATCTGTTGACTATCTTTTCATACCTGAGTTTTGATTTCTCTTGGTTCATAACACAGTAAGAGACTTTTCTGCTTTTCTCTGGACAGTCTGGGCATGGTACAGAGATAACATATTTCAGCAGCCCTCTCTTGACAGGGCACCTGTGAGGTGGTGGGGCATTGCTTTGCTGCTGTCACATGGAAGGTGGAAAATTCAAATTCCTCCACTTGGGCTTTGTTGATCCCTGAAGTGCATATGGTTCATTAATCTTGAGGCTGAAGTAGGAGTTCACGCTTCCCAACAGGCCTCTGTAGATTCTTTGTGGCTAGGAGGGGTTCCTTGTAACTGTTCCCCAAAGGCCTCCACTGATTCATTCCAGCAGGGAAAGCCCAGAATGCCTCATTAATGCTCCACAGGTACCGCATTATGATAGGTAGAATAGGCAGTCCCCCCACCAGATGGTCTCCTATGATACTTTGTGGAAGGCTACTTTGGTTGGTTGTCTTTTTGCAGGAATGCACTGCTGCTGGGAGGGAATGAAAATTTGGGTTTTCCTTCCAGAGAGGCTCTATAGAAGAATGTCTTGTGTCCTGTTACGTCTTGGCAAGTCTAAGTAGCCCATTCTACTTTTGCTGGTTCATGTGGAGGTGGAGCCAAAGTTTGCTTTATGGTGTTTAGATGGAATAGGCTTATTGATGTCTAAAGGTTTAATAGTTTTCTGTCTTAACTGGTCCTCTGACTAGAGAGAGTAGAATTTTTGTGGAGTTTTTTTGTTTGTTTGTTTGTTTGTTTGTTTGTTTTGTTTTCTGACTTGCCAACATCCAGTTTAGCATACATTAGGCAAAAATAAAACCCAGAGTGTCATTCTTCAGGTCCCAAAGTTCCCAAAGTCCTTCTTAATCTTACATTTGCTTTATTTGTGTGGTAGGGGTTGAGGTAGGGAGGAGTAGCTCTTTTTATTGGGAGAAAAAAGGAAAACTGAGTCTATCTCATTTTCATCTGGAATCAGTGAATTAACATGATTTGACCATCTGTCAGAGAGGACATCACTTTCTAAATGTCCTCATAGGAACCACCAGAGACTGAGAGTGCAAAAGATTTGTTTGGTGGTAGGCTTACCGCTGACATGATTGCAGAACGGCAAGGACACTCAAACTTTCCCCAAATGCAAGAACTCAACTGGACTTCATCATCCATCAGGTACGGTCATTGTATTGTGTGCATTTGACATTTCACTACATGTGTAATCATCATTTTTTTAAATCCCTGAACTTAGGAATCTTTTCCAAGCAGGGCTACTCATTCATCTACACTACTTTAGACCACAGACTATCAGCTATTGAAATGATTTAATAATTTGTATTATCAGAAACTACAATTAAAAATGTTACCAAGCTTTTTTCTTCAGATTTTGTTTTTTCTTTTTTCTTTTATAGCCAGTCACATTAGGTTTACTTCTCATATCTTCGGTGTTTTTTTAACAAAAGCAAAAATATAATTATGTCTTAAAATTATGAGAAACAGTTTGTAAAAAGAAATCTGTTAGCACTTTTAATTGTAACTTATTGTAACAGCAACTTCAGACACATAGATTGGATGTGAATGTGGTATTATTTTGTTCTGGCTGTAGACTTGCCTGGCATGTAGCTTCCCAGATCCTCTCCAATGACCTCACAGGCCCCAGCTGCCACTCTCAGAGTGCAGAGCTCTATGTCAAAACCAGTGGTTTAGTGGAACTCACTGTTTGAGAAGAGAGAAAGAGAAAGAGAGCTAGCTCACCAAGGAGGAGATCTTCCCAGGTTGCCCAGCCAATAAACAGCCCACAGAAGACTACAAAATATCTTTTTTTTTTTCATTTTCTTCTCTTATGACTTGAGAGCAAGAAGCGTTGTGCTGCTCCTGTCCCCATCCAGTGCACACTTGCCTCCACTGGTGCGTCCTCTGATACTGCTCTCCTGAGTGTCATCAGTGTCCTGGCTGGCACATCCACCTCTCTGAGGTGTGGAACAATGCAGACTCTGCTTCCCAGTGCTTGCTCTTTTAAAAACAAAACAAACAAACAAACAAAAACCATATGATCCCACGTTCTTGCTTTTTTCTACAAACCTCATATTCCCCGTGTTCTCCAAGTTTTGTTCCCACTCTGCGCGTTCTCTCTTCTCTGCCCCCTGTAGTTAGTTCCCTTTTAAACCTAGATTCTCACGTGAACACTCAGTTGCTCTCAAGGTATATCTAGGAGATTTCCCCCACCTGCTATGACCTAAGCCAAACAACCATAACACAGCCTGAGAAAAGTCCAAGCCATTTCTTTCCTCGCCCTCCATGCCCAGCTTGTCACAGCGCCACAGACTAGGTGTCTGATGAATGTCTCACAGTTCCTCTGCTGTTTGTAGTCACTGCCACTGGCAATGTATTTTAGAAACGCTTTTGGTAACTTTTTAGTTGTCTTATACAACCCTTCTTCCAAGACTCATCAGTGACCATATTGCCCTGACATAGGTTTCTCAGATTACTGCTCTTCCTAACATTGTTCAATAACATTTCATTGCCTATAAATACAATGTAAAATTCCTTTGCATGGCATAAAATACACACACACACACACACACACACACACACACACACACGGGGGGGGGGGGCTTGAGACAGGGTCTCCCTGTAGCCTCAGTTGTCCTAGAACTTTCTATGTAGACAGACTGGCCTCAGTCTCATAGAGCTCTAGCTGTCTTTGCCTCTGAGTACTGGGATTAAAGGCGTGTGCCACCATGCCCCACGGCATAGAATAATTTTCATCTCTTGAATCTTACCTTTAATGCTCATTATATTTTACACTTCAGAAACTCTGAAATCTTCTAATTCATAAGATAATGTCTGATATTTTCTTTTTTGTGCCTGTTGCATTATACGGAACACCTTTCTCCTAATTTATCTGACAAATATCTAAAAGTCCTCCAACTGTCACCTTAAGATCTTTCTCCTCTTGTGATAGCAACCTTGGCTTGCTTAAGTAGAAAAAAAATGTGATTATGCCTAATTCTCTTCCAAACTCTTTTCATATTTGGGGGGTTTTTGCTTACCCCTTTTGAAAACAGAGACTGTTTCCTGTGTCCTTGCCAAGCACTTGGTCTACACTTAGACTATATCAACGAAAGTAATGCTGAATGAAGAAATGGCTTGTGGCTCAGCAGTTAAGAACACTAGTTGTTCTTGCAGAAGACCCGGGTCCAAATCCTAGCACCCACATGGCAGCTAATAACTGTCCATAACTCAGTTCCAGGGGATCCAACAGCCTCTTCTGTCTTCCATGGGCATTGCATGACACGGGTGCACTTACCTACATGCAGGCAATACACACATACACATAAAATAAAAATAATAAATAAAATATTTTAAAAATGACTTGTGAATGGCAACAGTATGCCACAATTGTATTTACAGGTCTATAATTTGTTTTGAAAGTTGTTAGTAGAAGGAGATTCTGTTCTATTCTCTGTGCCTTGGCTCAGGGAAAGGTAGAACTTAGTTCAAATAATGGACTGGGATCATACCTCCTCCTGTTTAGTTCCTGGAACATCTGGCAAAGTGGAATGCTGTAAAGCAGTGGAGAAGTTTGGGTTCAAACACCTTACCACTCTTTCCTCTTTCCAATCCCTTTCCCTTCTCAGCACTTCAGAAATAGCCTACTTCACATGTGTCCATTAAAGTTTGTAACCCAATTATCTTTGCACTTACTATATCAATTTTGCTATGATTTCATAAACTTGTATGTTAATTTGTAAATGAATTGGAAATGTTTATTTGGTGTGTCCTCTATACTAGGTCTATGTTTAATACTAATAGATATGTTTTTAAAGTAATCAAATTCTACGTCATTTTCTTCATACATGTGCAACAAAAATGCATACTTAGCTGAGCATCCCACTCTTACCTCTGGCATTAAGGCATTATTTTTCATAGAGTTTGTCAGGTGAGGGTTTTTTTTTTTTTAATGGTTTGGGGAATTACATGTAGAAGAACTCGCCATTTCCAAAGTTTCTGTCTGTTAAAATACTAACTGTATTTGCTTTGTCTAACTCAGGACTGTGGATCTGACCCCAGTTGACCACTTTAGAAACGTGTGCAATGTGAACCTACAGAACAACAACCTGACATCGTTCAGTGGGCTTGTCTACCTGCCGAATGTGAAGGTGAGTCCCTGCAAATGTTCTTGAATACCTTTCAAGATCTTCAGCATAGGTTTCAGTCTTCATTTTACATTAACATATATTTTCAAGTTATTAAGGTATAGGTATTATTGCCCAAATAATCAAGAAAGAGTACTGCATTCCAAAGTTATTTCAGACTGCTTCAACTTTATGTCAGTGATACACATAGATCTTACTCTGCAGGAGGAGATGAGACAAGAAGTGTGTCTAGTGTCTCTAGTGAGCAGATATAGAAAGAAATTGAGATTGACGTGGTTCTCAAAGCAGTCTCATCGCCTCTACTCAGCCATCTATTAAAGTCTTGTTAATGCAGGAAAAAAAAAAACCAGTTTTCTCTCTAAGGAGTTATTTCATCCATATCAGGCTTTGCAGATTGACAAAGCTAAGTGGATTTCTAGGGTCTTCATCATTTGGTCTGTGGTGACTCTTCTGCATGTAAGATCACTGAAAACATATTCTAAATAGTTTGGGATTAAATTTTTACTTTTTTCACACTAACATTATGTATTAACAGTAACATCACTGAATTATGTATCCCAAGTATTAATCATACCATTTTGATAGTTGTTTCATGGATGTTTAATCATTAAGGTGCTCCTCCTGTAGGTCTTATGCCTCAACTATAACCATATTGAATCAATCATGCCTAGACTAAAACCTCAGACTCATTTAACCAACAGACAACTGCTTCACCAGAAGGTGACTTCCAGTGGCTACAGACAACAAGGAACTACAAAAATAAATAGGTACTTTAAAAAATTATTTTTCATAATTACAAAAAAACAAAGAAGTAGCACATTCTAGCCCGTATGTTTAGCTGACTTTAGTAACCATTTTATGTAACAAACTATATGTCAAAAACAAGCCTCACAAATAAAAAGACAATCCATGCCTTTTGTGATTGTTTTCCCCTGCCTCTTCCATTTCATACGTATATTGTAAACAATAAACAAGCAAAAGGCCCTGTGTGTTCGGTGACCCTGCGCTTCTCTTCTTAACTGAGGTATAATTCACAGAACACATAGCTCACCTTTTGTGTACAATGCAATGATTTTTAGCACATTTACGAACTGTGCAATCAATACCACTCTCTAATTCTAGAGTATGTCTGCCATGCTACTGAGGAAACCTGTACTCAAGCATTGTCAACTTGGGTTTCTTTGAACACTTGGTGTATTTTTATTTCTAAATTAATTTTCTGGACAATTAGTAGTCTAGGACTGATGGGAAAGATATAATTTATGAAGGTGAAGGCACATCTCCTACTTTCCAATATATTTATGGATAGGTACCTATGAATGTATGTGTGAAATATATATAGATGTGTATATGTACACACACACACACACACACACACACACACACACACACACAAATAAACCAAGTCAAAATTCTTTTTATTTTCACTTTCCTCATTGAAGAACATTCCTTGTTCCTCCTTCAATGAAGGTGATAAATCTTTATTGAAGTACAGTTTTCATATAATAAAGTTCATCAACTTAAGTGTATCAATCAGTGATTTCTGACAAATATATTTAGCCCTGTAACCACTACCACAGTCACAATGTGAAATATCCCTGCCCCAGGGAGATCCCATCTTTTCCTTTGCAATCCCCCTTCCCCACATCCTGGCCTCTGGCAATAGCCATTGATCCACTTCCTGTCCCTGTAGTTTTGCCCTTTTCTATAATTTTATAAGATGGGGATGAAATAGTAAGTACTCTTTTTCTGCCTGGTTTCTTTCACTTAGCTTAATGCTTTTTGACCCATTCTTTTTTTGTTGCAAGGGTCAGTAATTTCACATTATTGCTGAGCACTGTTCCATCATACAGATTATATGAATGCAAGTCATCTAACGTTTTTCCTTTTCAGTATTGTTTTGGATGTTCTGGGTTGTTTTTAAAAAATATTTTGTTTATTATTTTTATTTGATATTTTGAGTGTATTACCTCATGTATGTAAGTGCACCCATGCCGTGCAATGCCTTCGAGGTCAGAAGAGGGCATCGGATCCCCTGGTACTGGAGTTACAGACGGTTGTTAACTGCCATGTGGGTGCTGGGAACCAAACGTGGGTCCTCTGCAAGAGCAGCCAGTGCTCTTTACCCCTGAGCCATCTCTCCAGCCCCCATTCTGGGTTCTTTGTATTCCTTATACATTTGAAGAGAGCATGATCATTTTCTTAGGAGGAGTGCTTTTGAAATAGACTATATTGAATCTACTCATCAATTTGAAAGAATTGCCATCTTAGTAATATTCAGACTTCTAATCTATGAACCTGAAGTAATTTTTTTTCTTACTTAGGCCTTCTTTAATTTCATTCACCATGTTTTGTAGCTTTCTGTATACATATTTTGTACTTTTAAAAAATTTTATCGTAAGTACTCTGAAGTGTTTTCTCCTACACTATTGTAAATTGTTTTCTTAATTTTACTTTTACATCTTTTACAACCAATTTTTGCATATTAATTTATCTTGTGACTTTGCTGAATTAATTTATTAAGTCACTTAGTTTTGTTGGTGGATCTGTTAGGGTTTTCTCATATGTTCTTTACAAGAATAAAGATAGCTGTACTTATTCCTTTCCGATGGGAATGGGATACAATTTTTTTCTTTTTCTCGCCTGAGTGTATTAGCTTCACTTTTCATTGTGATTTTATGTACTTCTTTATTCTTTACCATATAAGTGTTTAAAATATTTTATTTATTATTTTTATTTTATGTGTATGAGTGTATTGCCTGCATGTATGTAAGTGCACTCATGCCATGCAATGGCCACCGGAGGTCAGAAGAAGACATTGGATCCCCTGGTACTGGAGTTATGGACAGTTGTTAGCTGCCATGTAGGTGCTGGGAATCCAACCTGGGTCTGCTAGAAGAGCAGCTAGTGCTCTTAATCACCGAGCCATCTCTCCAGCCCCCATATAAGAATAAAAATTAATTTTATATAAAATATAAAGAATACTGTTCACTTATCTCAATAAATTCATTTTGTTTTCTTAACTTGTAGTTACAGATAATAGACTGCCTTTTCTGATGAAGTGGCTTTTAAATTAAGTTTATGATCTCAGACTTACTTGTGTATTTCAGGGAAACAGTGAGCAGTGAAAATTTACCTCCAATAATGCAGAGTCTAGAGGTTCTTCATTTGGGCTACAATGGAATTTGTGACTTAATCCAGCTACAACTTAACAGACTAATAAATTTAAAATTCCTCTTTCTACAGGGTGAGTGGACACCTTGTTTATAAATCCTGTAGATAGACTTGATCATCATCTTGTTTCGATAAGCAAGTATAAGCATCAATATTTACTCAAACATTCATTGACAAAAAATTGAATAATCACAAGTGGTTTTTTTTCTTTAGTTAGCTACATATTACCAAAAAGCTTAAAAGTTTTTAATTGTATATATTCGCTGTGCATGGTACTGATCTATAAGGACATTTCTAGATGTGCATATATTATTTGATGAGCAGATTCCCTACCTTCCTTTCCCCTCCTTCCTCCTCCCATTTAGTCAGTCCCCTTTGTTCTCTAGATAGTTTTGTCTCTACATACGTGGTTTTATGTATCCGTATAAATCTAGGGGGTGTGGTGGATCACACAATTGAAAATCAGAGGGCAACTTGCTTGCAGGAGTTGATTCTCTCCTGCCACCAGGTGGGTCCTAGAGCTCAAACTCAGGTTATTAGCAAGGACCTTTACCTGCTGAACCATATGGGCTGATTCCACCCCCTGTATGCAGCAGTCCTTGGCAGATGCCTCCCAGCTCTGACATCTCCAACACCTTAGGGTCTGCACTGAAACCCAACTCTACCATCACAGCTTCACTCCATGGCCTCTCAGGACCTCCCTGCAGGGACTCCACCTCCGCCACACATTGCCTGCCTTCACACCTTTCTGAAAGCACGGAGGAAGAATTCAAGAATCTTCGGTCCTGCATCTTTCCTGCCTCCAAAGCCAATGCCATGTGACACTGCCAAGGAGAGGAAAAAACGAGCCCAAGATTATTGTGCAACTGAATGAAAAGATTGGCAAGATGGAGCGTTAAAACCAGACAATGTTGTTTTGGGAAAGGCTGCTCATTTGCAGTGAGGGAAAGATCAGTTTGTGTTGTAACAATTTAGAGACATAAAAATGTATATCCTTTTTAGCTTTTAAAAAATTATTTGATAAATATTTAAATGAAAGTAGATAAATAACTTTTAATTCTAGAAGTTGGTGCTAACTTGGCATATTATGACTTAACTATTTTTAGGGAATGAAATCAGTCAAGTTGAAGGGCTGGACAACTTAGTGGTCCTTCAGGAATTGGTAGTAGACCATAACCGCATCAGAACATTTAATGACAGTGCTTTCTCCAAACCAAGTTCTCTGCTGACACTTCATCTTGAAGAAAACAGACTACGAGAGCTGAGCAAATTACAATCTTTGGTAAAATTGGAGAAACTCTTCCTAGGATATAATAAAATCCAGGTAACTGTATTTGATATTTTCTTAATGATAGAGCTTTGCTATTTTGATTTTAGAAGTGTCATACATCAGGACTTTGAAGACACTCTGGTTATCTTTTGAGATCTGTGCTCCACAGGTTCTTCTGTGGAGTCAAAGCTTGATTAGAATCACAGACTGAGAAAAGGCTTACATTATTTTCTCAAACTAAGCAGAGTATAGTATTATTTGCCAGTGAAACAGTCCTGTTCAAAATGTTCATTTATTTTTGAAAATAGTAGTAAAAATAGTATATTGTTTGTAGAATATATAATGATAAAAAAGCTTTAAGAGCCATCAAGCAAATTGATATGTCCATAATTGTGTGAAGAGGGCTTTCCATTTATAATACAGAGAGTTATTTTAAAATTTTATTACATTTATTTAATTATTGTAGTGGGGGTGTGCCTGCCCCTGTGGGCATGTGCAGGTCAGAGGACAGCTGGGGAAGATTGGTTCTCTCCTGCCACAGTGAGTATCAAACTCATGCTGTCAGGTTTGGTGCGATATCTTTACCTGCGGAGTCATCTTGCCAGCCCTAGAGGGCTTTTTGCTCCTCTGTTTTAACAGTGGCATGCTGCTGTTACCTTATATTGGCCCCCAAAAATCAAATAGTAAATATTGAGAAATTTTATGAGATGATATTTTAGCTTGAAATTGCCTATGGCAGAAGATGTTATACCATGGAAAGTGGAAAATGCTACTAATTAGGGCTTTCCAGTGGAGTCTGCTCATTAACACCACTGTCACAGTCATGTTATTACCTTTTGAGTACCTTGTCAGATAAGCACTTAAAGCCATCACAAAAAAATCCACAAAGTGGCTTAGGGTCTAGACTGAGGCCTTCATTTAGGGCAAGAAATACCAACAGACTGTTCCCCAGTTTATGTCTGGCTTTAGATCCAGATGTTTAAAAGTAGACAGGGACGTTGGATGCCAAACAGAGGAATCACTTAGTCTCGGGAATCAAATGCAACTATAAAACTGAAATCTTCATTTGTATTTCTATGATTCTTAGAAGCAAGACAACAGGCTACATTTTCTAGTGCCACACTATTGGATATGTTGACTAAGACATAATCTGTAGGTCAGTGGGAGACTGCAATACAAAACTTGCATAAAATCATTTCAACTTAGTTTGTTAGGAAATTTCAGATTTAACTAAATAATAATTTCTTAACTTTTACATAGGATATTGCAGAACTGGAAAAACTTTATGTTATCTCTTCTCTCCGAGAGCTTACTGTTTATGGCAATCCAGTGAGTATGTTACCTTTCTAATTAATTACTGATAGTTGTATATAATTTATTTATATTGTGTGAGACAGTGATTTGATTTTTCTGTTTCTATATCCATACATGGTCAGTTAACCCAGTACAATTTTTTGACTGCTGTCTTCTTTTGCCTGATGATATTGCAAACTGTCACTGTCAAGTATAAATATGTTTGTTTCCCGGTTCTACATTGTACCCATTGGCCTGTTTGTCGGTTGCTGTACCAATAATACAATACAATAATAATACAACTTTTGCTTTTGTTAATTTACAGTTGATAAATCTAGCTAGACGTTTGTGTATTGTATTTCTTTAGTAGACCATAAGATGCTTTATCAAGGACCTTATTTCTTTGTTTTCCTTTTCATCAACATCTATTCTTTATTATTTCCTTCTTTCAGTTTCTTGAAAAATTTCAAGAAAATTTTTAATTTCATATTTCTTAATCTTACTCATTTTTTGTCTTTTTTTTCTTTTTCTTTTTCTTTCTTTTTTTCTGAGACAGGGTCTCCCTGTAGCCCCAGCTGTCCTGGGACTCACTGTGTAGACCAGGCTGGCCTTGAACTCATAAAGATCCGCCTGCTTCTGCCTCCCAAGTGCTGGGATTAAAGGCGTATGCCACCACACCCAGCAATCTAAATCATTTTTAAATAACATTAATTTGCAGTATTTCTTCTGAATCAGTAAGTTCTGGGTGACAAAGTGCAGCCTTAACAGTGTCGGAAAGTCTTGATATATGTTGCTTTTATTGTTCTTCATGTCTAAAAGCTTCTCCTCTTCAAAAGGTTTCTTTCCATATTGTGAATTACGAGGGGCTGTGCATATGCTTTTACTCATTTCACATCCAGCGTGTGTTTCTAGTACATCTTCATCGTTTACTTCCAGTGTTGTAATATTTCAGTCAGAGAAAATAGGCTATATATATTCTTTGGTATTTAATAAAATTGCTTTTGTGATCTAGACTGTGTTCAGTCATTTGTTTCTCTCGGTTATATCATTAGAGCTCTTTCTCCGTCCATGGATATGTTCCTGCCACATTCATTTAAAGTAGTTTATTCATTCTTCCTTTTTCTTTTTCAGACTGGCCTGGAACTCAAACTTACTACATAAACCAGGGTTATCCAGCTCATAATAATCCTCCTACTTCAGCTCCTAGAGTGCTGAGATTACAGGCAGGAACCAGCAGGCCCAGCTTATTCGTTCCCTTTTGAGTTTGTTTTTCTTCTTTGCTATTATAGACAATGCTGTGTGCTTTCTGTACTGACAGTACCCAAGATCACCGCTAAAGAGATTTGCTAAAGAGACTCATGGGACTCAGCATACTGGTTTCCTCAGCTAAAATTGATTGCAATGACATAATTCAGATACACAATCACACAATACAAGAAAGAGAAAGGCAGAGTCTGGAAGAATCTGTGTAGACATCCTTGTGCTAGCTCCCCTGTGGTGTATCATACAGAGCACACACTTCACCCAGCTACAAAAATGCCATATCTTGTGTGTTATATTTCTTTTCAAGGGAAGCCTTAGAGACTTAGCATTCAATAATTTTCTTGGAGGTTCGTCACGTAGGCAACCTCTTCCAATCAAGAACTGAAACTCCAGATTCCAGATGGAAAGCAAGTTAAATATAAATCATATTTTAATAAGCATAGTCACATATGTTTATCAGTCAGAGAATGGAGAGAACAACCCAAGTCCAAATAGCAAACACCAGGCAAGAGTCATTCTTATAAACAGAACCTTCTAAAAGTTGACACCTTAAGACCTTCTATATTTCGGTCTTTCTACATATGTTCTTATGCACATATGGAACTGTTTTCACAGCAGGTCAACACTATGAAGGGATGAATCATACAGACACTAGATGCATGTTGATTAAATAACATCTTTGGGAAAATCTCACATGAGTTAATTACTTATAAATGAATCTCCATATACTCCAGTTCATGAGTTGAGACTGTCAGTAGCTAATGAGCAACACTATGGACTTAAAATGGGGACAAGTCCAGGTGTGGTGACATACACCTGTAATCCTAGTACTCAGGAGGCTGAGGCAAGAGGATTGTTAGTTCAAGGCCAGCCTGGGATCCTTTGGAAGAGGAAGGAAGAAAGGAAAAGAAAAGAATCTCTGGTAGCCTTAGTTTAAAAATATGTTCTGATTTTCACTTGGCATTATAAGAAAGTAAGAAATCTTTACAATGGACAGTTCTTATCTGTAGCATCCAAAATTGTAAAGTAGTTACCTGTCATCTTTCCTAAATTTTCTTTTAAAGGTTAATTTTTGAAATTAAAGTGTTTTTTAGGAATAAACTGTTATTTTTAATTTTCTTTAGATTTGTAGAAAAATGGTACATCGTCAAGTGCTCATATTCCTACTGCCTAACTTACAGTTGTTGGATGGAATACCTATAAATTCAGATGATAGGGCAAAAGCTGAATTTCATTTCTCTGAGCTACAAGCAAAGAAAAATTTGGTAACTAACTATATTATTTATAGTTTTCTTTTTAATATAGATTATTATAAATGAACGTTATACCATATGCATTTTGACTTAAATGTTTAAACCTATGGTGATTTTGTGGATTATCTTAGTATTTACTGAGTTCTAGCAAAGGAAGGTCTTTTTCCTAATAACACATTGACATTGGCAAATTATTTGATATTTGTTTGTTCAGTATTTCAGATGATGCTAGAAGGTTAGGAACTGAAACATATTATTTTTGTAGAAGCTAAATGTAGTTTCCATTTAGGCAGAGAGGAAAGGAAGGAATTCTCATCTCAACTCTCTGGACTGTGCAATTCATCTAAGAAGAGAGATACGTGTTGCTAATCTTATATTTTCAGGATTATTGGGTGGTTTATCCATGAGGCCTAAAATGTGTCTGAATATAGTAGAAACAAAATTAGAGAGAAAAAAAATAAAAACTTGCTTTTAGGAAATTAGCCGCCTTTGTGTCTTCATGACCATCCTCTAAAGACTAAATTTAACACAGAAAGTCATTTTTTTAACAGAGATATAAAATTATTAGACTTGAGCCTTTGCAGGAAGAAGAGACTAGAGTAGTCTGGGGAATAAGTTGAAACCTTTAGGATTATCCAAGAGAGACGTTATGAAGATCTGGATGGATTGTGGGATGCGGGATGAAAGTGGACTTTTAATGTAAGTAGAAGGGAGAGACCAACACCATTAAACTCAAGGAACCAAGGCTGCTTTTAAAAAAGTATGTTGAAAGAGAAAGAGGTAAAACTGTTCCCTCTTCATGGGCTCTCACTTAACTTCCTGAATTAGCAGATATTTCTTATTCCCTTCATAAAGGAAATGGAACCTTGGATACTAGACAACTCTTAGTTTACTCTTCCCTTCAACAGTAGAGTTGCATACTCATTGAATGTTGGCTGTTTTTTCAAACACTGTTGTGTACTTCTTAAATCAACAGGTGAATTATAAATACAAAATTTAAATTATGATTTCTACGTTTCTATGAAAACCAAATTCAATATTTTAGAAAGTCTGGAAAACAATCACATAGCTAGGTGTGGTGTTGCACAGCTCGAATCCCAGTATTTGGGAGGCAGAGGCAGGTGAATCTCTGTGAGATGGAGGCCAGCCTGGTCTACATAGTGAGTTCCACACCAGATGGGGCTACAGGGAGACCTTGCCTCAGAAAACAAAACAAAACAAAAAGCACTCACATGCAGCCTTGAGCACATGTGTACACACATACTTCCTCAACTTATGTGTGGGAAAAATTCTGTAACATACAAGAACAAAGATAAAAATTTAGAGAAAACTTTTTTTTTAATCTAGACAAGTTGCTGTCTTCAAATTTTCTCCATATCTTTAATAATATTTTATTTATTCTTTTTTTAATTTTATGTGTATGAGTGTATTACTTGCATGTATGTAAGTATAGCTGTGTCGTGCAGTGCCCACGGAGGTCAGAAGTAGGCATCCAAATCCCCTGAAACAGGAGCTATGGATGGTTAGCTGCCGTATGAGTCCTGGGAATCAAACCTGAGTCCTCTGAAAGAATAGCCAGTGCTCTTGACTGCTGAGTCATCTCTCTACCCAAAAGCTTGCTATTTTAAATAAATTCTACACACACACACACACACACACACACACACACACACACGTACAGATACACACTAACACGCATATATGTATATATTGGAAATTGTAGGCAACACCTTAAGGGTATGATTTTTCTTAGGATAGTTAAATAGAGAATCAATCAAAGGACCTTTGCTTATGAAAAATGGTCTTGCATTAGACATGGTGATGCATGTCCATAATCCTAACACTCTGGAGGCAGGAAAATCATAAGCTCAAGGTCATTCTTGGCCTGAGTTACATGAGACCTTGGAAAAAAAGCCTGGCTTCTTCATCAAAAGACAGATAAATAACATGCAATATTTGAAATTTTCTTAAAAGATACATATGCATTATATTTGTATTTTTCCCCCTTTTTGTGGTACTGGGGATCAAACCTAGGGCCTCATTACATGCAAAGCTATTGTGAAAAGAGCAGCAACAAACATGGATGTACAAGTATCTCTGCAATAGGTTTCTCTTTCACTCTGTTGGTTATTTCCTTTGCTGTACAGAAGCTTTTTTTTTTTTTTTATGTCTTTGGTCAGGTTTAATGTAGTCCCACTTGTCAATTGTTGACCTTAATTCCTGAGCAACTGTTGTCTGATTTAGAAGTATTTTCCTGAACCTATGTCTTGTAGGGTCCTGCCAATGGTTTCCTCTAACAGTTTTAGCCTTACAGGTTTTGCATTGAGGTCTTTGATCCTTTTGGAGTTGACTTTGGCACAGGGTGATAGATAAAGGTCTATTTTCATTCTTCTATGGGTAGAGATCCAGTTTTGTCATCACTGTTTGTTGAAGATGCTATCTTTCTTCCAATGTGTGTTGTTGGCACTTTTGTCATATATCAGGTGGCTGAACTTGCATGCATTAATGTTTGGGTCTTCTATTTTGTTCCATTGATTTACATATCTGTTTTTGTACCAGTAACATGCTGTTTTTATGACTATAGCTCTGTAAATAGTTGAGATCTGTTATAGTAATCCCCCAGCATTACTCTTTGTGCTCAGGGTTGCTTTGGCATCCAGGTTCTTTTGTGACTCCATATAAATTTTAGGATTTTTTTTCTAATTCTTTGAAGAATGTCATGAGGATTTTGATTGGCATTGCATTGAATATGTATATTGCTTTTGATAGGATGGTCTTTTTCACAATATTAATTCTACCAATCCATAAGGATAGGAGGTCCTTCCATCTCCTGATGTCTTCCTCAATCTCTGTCCTCAAAGATTTAAATTTTTCATTGTAGAAATCTTTGGTGTCTTTGGTCAGGTTTATTCCTAACGATTTTTTTTTCTTTTTTGAGGCTATTGTGAATGGGAGGGTTTCCTTGAATAATTTTTCTGGTTGCTTGTTATTGGTATGTAAATAGGGTTACTGCTTTTTTTAAGTTGGTTTTGTAATCTGTCATTTCACTGAAAGCATTAATCATTTCTAGCAGTTTTCTAGTGGGATTTTTGGGATATCTTCTGTATAATAGCACATCATCTGCAACTAGTGATAATTTGACCTCTTCTTTTCCAATTAGCTCTCTTTCAATTTCCTTTTCTTGTCTTATTGCTCTAGCAAGAGTTTCAAGCACTATATTGAAAAAGAGTGGAGATAGTGGACAGTCTTGTCTGGTTCCTGATTTTAATGGGAATGCTTCCAGTTTTTCTCCATTTAGAATGATTTTGATGTTGGCTGTGGGTTTGTTGTTTATAGTTTTATTATGTTGAGGTATGTTCCCTCCAGTCCAGTTCCCTCTAGGACTTTTAACATAAATACATGCTGGGCTTTGTCAAAGATCTTTTCTGTATCTAATGAGATGATCACATGATTTTTGTCTTTAAGGTCATTTATATAATTTATTATGTTCATTGACCCAAGTATATTAAATCATCCTTGCATCTCTGGAATAAAGCCAACTTGATCATGGTGGATGATCTTTTTTATGTGTATCTGTATGTGATTTGCAAGCATTTTCTTGAGAATTTTTAGATCTATGTTCATTAAGGCAATGGGCCTATAGTTTTCTTTTGTTGTTGTGTCTTTACCTGGTTTGGGTATTAGAGTAATACTGACTTCATGGAATGAGTTTGGGAGTACTCCCTCTGCTTCTCTTTTTGAATAATTTAAGTAGTATTGACTATAAATCTTATTTGAAGGTCTGGTAAAATTCTGCTGTGAGTTCATCTGAGCCTGGCCTCCTTTTAGTTGGTAGGCTTTGTATTACTGTTTCAATTTCCCTATTTGTAATGGGTCTGTTTAAGCTGTTGATCTCTTCTTGGTTTAACTCTGGTGAGTTCACTGAACTTAAAATTTTGTCCATTTGTTTAGATTTTCAAATTTAATAGAGTACAGGTTTTTAAACTAGTCCCTTATAATGTGCTGGATCTTTTGGTGTCTTTTGTGATGGTTCCCTTCCTTTTCATCTCTGACTTTGTTGATCTGGATTTGCTCTTCCTTTTAGTTTACTTGGCTAAGGGTCTATCTTGTTTATCTTTTCAAAGAAACAGCTCTTAGATTCACATTCTTTGTATTGTTTCTAGTTCATTGATTTCTGCTCTGATTTTTATTATTTTTTCTCATCTGTTAGATTTGGGTTTGGTTTGTTCTTGCTTTTCCAAATTCTTGAGTTGTACCATTAAGTCAGTTATATGTATTCTTTCTGATTTTTTTATGTGTATGTATGTTTTGCCTGCATATATGTAAGTGCACCCATATTGTGCAATGCCCACAGAGGTCAGAAGAGGGAATTGGATCCCCTGGAACTGGAGTTACAGGCAGTTTTTAGCTACCATGTGGGTGTTGGGAACTGAGCCCAGGTCCTCTGGAAGAGCAGCCCATGCTCTTAACTACTGAGCCATCTCTCCAGCCCACCATTTTTTTTAATGTAGGCACTTAGAGCTATGACTTTCCCTCTTAAGACTGTTTTTAACTTGCCCCAGATGTTTTGTTATGTTATCATTTTAATTTAGTTCCAGGAATATTTTTCTTTCTTGATTTCTTCTTTGATCCATTCATCATTCAGGAGTATGATGTTTAATTTCCATGGGTTGCATAGTTACTAAAGCCTCTTTTGCTGTTGATTTTAAGCTTTATTGCATTGTGGTCAGATAGAATACATGGAATTATTTCAGTTTTTTGGTGTTTGTTGAAGTTTGTTTTGTGCCCCAATGTGTGGTCTATTTTGGAGAAATGTCCATGGACTACTGTGTACAATGTATATTCCTTGGTGCTTGTGTAGAATATTTTGTAGATGTTGTTTTGCTGTATGATATCATTTATTTCAAATGTCTATTTATTCTTTGTCCAACTGACCTGCCTATTGGAAATAGTGGTGCATTGAACTCACCTCACTGTTACTGAGTTGGGGTTAATCTCTTTTTTATAGTCCTGTACTACTACTTTTATGACATTGAATGCACCAGAGTTTGGTGCATATATGTGCATGACTGTAATGTCTTCTTGGTCAATTGTTCCCTTGATCAGAATAAAGTGACCTTATTTATCTCTTCTGGTTAATTTTAGTTTGAAGTCTATTTTGTCAGATAGAATAGCAAGTCCTTTTGTTTCTTGGTGCCATTTGCTTGGAATATTTTTTTCCATCTTGGAATATTTCTTTCCACTCTAAGGTGGTGCCTATGACCATCTTTTAAACAACACCGAAAACAACAACAAAAACAACAAAAACCAGATAGATGTTTCTTAATCCATTCAACTAGTCTGTGTCTTCTGATTGGAGAGTTGAGGTCATTGATATTTGTAGTTATTATTGAAAGTTGTGGATTGCTCACTGTCATTTAATTTTCTTTTTGTATTCCTAGTCTCATTTTGTGCTTCTGTACTCTATACTGTCATTTCTTTTCTTTCTGTAACCTCTTGAGTATGGTCATTTCTGTCTTTGGTCCTTTGTATTGCTTTGAGTATTCTCTGTAGGGCTGGTTTGGTGGACCTGAATCTTTCAGCCTGTTTGTGTCATGGAAGCTTTTTCTTTCTCTTTTGACTATGATAGAAAGTTTTACTGGGTAACGTATTCTGAGTTGGCATCTATGGTGATTTAGAACCAGGAATAATTTGGTCCAGCTCTTCTGACTTTCATAGTTTGCATTGAAAAGTCAGCTATAATTCTGTTGGGCTTTCTTTTTTTTTTTTTTTTTTGGTCTTTTTGAGACCGGTTCTCCCTGTAGCTCCACCTGTCCTGGAACTCACTATGTAGCCCAGGCTGGCCTTGAACTCACAGAGATCCCCCTGCCTCTGCCTCCCGAGTGCTGGGATTAAAGGCATGTGCCACCATGCCCAGCTGTGTTTTCTTTTATATGTAACTTGTTTTTCTCTAGTAGCTTTCAGTAGTCTCACTTTGTTTTGTGTATTTATTATTTTTACTATGCTATGCCATAGAGAGTTTCTGTTCTGGTTCTGTCTAATTGGTGTTCTGTGTGGTTCTTATAACTGTATAGGTATGTCATTTTTTAGTTTAGGAAATTTTTCTTCTATGTCCCATTGAAGATCTGGTCAGTGCCATTGACCTGAGAGTCTTCCCCTTCTTCTATGCCTATGATGCACAGACTTTGTCTTTTTATGGTGTCCCACAGTTCCTGCAATATTCTGTTCTTAGGCTATCTTAACTTTTTCATATTCTTTGCCCAAGCAGTCAAGTTGTTCAGCTTTGTCACCCAGTCTTGATATTCTGTTTTCCATTTCATTCCTTCTACTTGTGAGATTTTTTTCCTGTCATTTCAAATAGGCTTATTGAATTTTTCAATTCCACCTTCATTTTGGCTTGAGTGCTCTTCAACATTTCTCTTTTGTGAATACACTTTTCTCTTAAAATATTTATTATTTTTGTTTTATGTGTGTGAGTGTATTGCCTGCATGTGTGTAAGTGCACCTATATCAGGCAGTGCCCGTGGGGTCAGAAGAAGGCAGAGGATCCCCTGGAACCGGAGTTAACGAACTCCATGTGTGTGCTGGGAATTGAACCTGGGTTGTCTGCAAGAGCAGTCAGTGCTCTTAATCACTGAGCCATCTCGCCAGCCCTGTGAATTCACTTTTCAAGTCATGCACTGTCTTTGTCACTTCGTTCAGCCATATGTTCGTATTTTCTTAGGCTTCAGTTTATTCCTATCACCTCTCAGGTCTTTGAGTTGTTTGTGTGTTCTTTAAAGTTACTGAATTCTTTGACCATGTTTATGATTGTTTTAAATTCTGTGTCCTGGGGTTCCTCTGGGTGGTTCTCATTGTAGTATACTTTTGTAGGACTGGTGGGGTTTGGTGGAGATATAGTCTCTTGGTTTTTCATATTGTCTATGTTTTGGGGTTGAGGTTTGGGAATATGGATTTCTTTCGTTTTGTGTCTGATATGAAATTCTAGACTGCCTTTGTTTATTTGAAGTTTGGTTCTGTTTGTATTGTTGATATAGTTTGGTTGCTTTCTGGTCAGATATGAATAGTTATTTGGTCTGTGCTTCAGGTTCTTGCTTTTGGTTTTTATTGGCAGGAAAAGATGGTTCCGAGCTGATTAAGAGCTCAACAGAGGGAGAGACGGGGTCTAGGCCCAACTCATATCTGGGTTCTGGCAGCCAAATCAGGAGGATTCAGGCAGGAAGTTCAGGAGGCAGTCTAGGGCAAAGGTAGGAGAGGAGGGACAGTGTGAAGAGGGCCTAATTAGTGAGGCAGAGTAGGTGTGGGGCCTGAAGCAGGAGGATGTAGCTAGTCTGGGTGCAGGGGCATCAAGACACGGTGGGCCTAAAATTATTTTTGATTTGTCGATACATAGTAAAATAAAGGAGGTATTTTTAATCTTCATGTTTTTAAAATATATTTTAGGATTCAAAAGTAATTCTTACATTCATGGCTAGAACAAAACTGAGCCATTACTTCTTTTAGCTGCTCGGAAGAAACAAGAGCAGAAAACATTTCCAGTTTATCAGTTTAGACTTCTTTATTTTGATTGCCGCTAATTTCAACAGCAGAAAAGGGAATAGTAAATTCTAAAAATTTAAACCTAAACATTTTAGGGGTTTGGTTTATGAAAAAGGTTATCACCAAGCTAGGTCATTCACAGGAAGAAACTCCACAAATGACCTTAGAGAAAGGACTGGCTCTGGGTGCTCATTTTGAGGCTGCGTTCTGGGAATGCTTACTGAAGTGTGAGCAAATCAATGATCTTACACAAATAGCAAAGGCTTGCGTCTCTAAAGAAGTTGAACCACTTGTTCATTATTCACATCGTTAAAAGTGTAAACAAGGCCACAGTCAATGAAAATAGAATAGGCATAAATCTGTACAGAAGGCCGGAGTCCCCTGCCTGAAACCGCTTCCGCTCCATTGCTGACTCCTGGAATTCTTTTGAGTCCTCTAAGCTCCGGCAAACTAACAATGTGACTATCCTTTGCCGGTTTCTGCCAAGTTTGTTAGAATTGTTATGTTTTTCTTAGCATGTGCTTCCTTACGTCTTCTTGTTGAAAAGCTCATTAATGGCAAGGCACCAAATGGAGTAGTATGAGGAACACAAAGATGTAGAGGAAACTCCTCTCACCTTCCAGAGATTTCTATCCACAGAAAAAGAAGAGCCATTACAATAGAGAGATCTCCTTTTCACAAGTCTACTCTTTCCTTGCCTGACCTTTTGGAAGTCAGAGGGTCTGCCGAGCACTGGCTTCTAGGGATCAGTACAAAGCAGTCTGAAACAGCAGACCTAAGGTGTGAGGGCAGCTATTCTGGGGCCTGAAAGGCTCTGCCCTGTCAGTATTCCAGTCTTTGCCTGGTATCCAATTCTGAGTTTAGAGAAGCATGGAAAAATACTTTAAAGTTTATTGTGAAGTGGGGCTTGTTTGATCTCAGTTTTGGAGGTAAGATATTCTTAACTGTCTTATTTTATTGTGTAGTTCATTCCTGTTACCACCTCTCCTACTGATGGTGGAGCCTTCTGCCAAGTGAAAGCCTCTCCCGTTAAAATAACAAACGTAATTCTGCCTGCTGGATTTAGCCATTTCTTGGGACCCGACTTCACCTTAACTCCTGAAGTTGAAGGTATTTTTACAGTTTCAGAAAGAATACAAATACAAAGAAACAACAGCAGCAACAATTCAAAAAAGCATCTCATTTCAAATAGAAATCTCATTTTAACTTCTACTGTTATTTAAAATTGCATGTCTTAATTAAAATTACACATTTTCAAGTTTCCTTTGGCCATACTTATTTCAGAGACTTCAGTGTTTTATTTATTCTGTTCAATTACTAATAGGTTATAATTGAACGTTTGTTCTCTCACAACATGAACTTGATGATACTTGCACAAGTATTTCCTGACCTCTTGCAAAGGTTTTACTACATTTTCTGTATGTTATAACAAACAACTGCCAAAACCAGTTCATTAGTGAATTCTGCTAAAAGTAGAAACCAGAAAATTTTAAATGCAACAACAGAATCTTAGAGGCACCAAAGGTGTCTTACAGATATTTGGAATCACCAGTAAATCATGAAGTTCATGTTGGGGAAGAGTTTAAGAGCTAGACTTTAAAGGATGAAGTATACTAAAAGAATAGGACATGGAAATGGTTTAATTTATATTCATTTTAATGGGATTTAGAACAAGCCTGTTCCCTAATTCTAGATCCTTATTGCCTATTGTTCCGGGGAGATGAGAAGTCATATTCTCTCTTGTAAGTTCATCTCTCCCATTTCTTTAAACTTCTCCCTTTGTTCTGAGACCACAATAATTACAAAATGATCCAGGAACTTCCTAAGAGAAGGAGATTACACATGTTTACAATGTTTAAAGAAAAAACAGTTAAAGAAACCCAGATGCTGGCTAGATGGGCAACAGGTAAAGCCAAACCCGATGACCTGAATTCAATCTCCAGGACCCACATGGTGAAGGGAAAGAACTGACTCCTATAAGTTGCCCTCTGATTTCCACATATGCACTGTGGCACTCACCACACACACACACACACACACACACACACACACACACACACACACCATTTATATATATATATGAAACCCAGCATAATTTATCCTGTTGTGACTTTTGTCTTATTTTTCACTCTTCTACATCTTTATGCTAAAGGTTTTATCATAATGAGGATTATTATGGTTTTGTCCAAAAGATTGAAGTATACACACAACTGGACATGCCAAATTGTTCTTAGTTTCCTTAACAGTATAATGTCATCTTCGGGGTGATGATTTGTTTTTTGGTTTTTTTTTTTTTTTCCAACTAACCTGCCCTTCCTTCCCTCCTTCCCTCCCTCCCTCCTTCCCTCTTTTCTTTCTCTCTCTATATCTTGCGTGAGTTCAATCCTGAATTCATCTTTGTAACTTCCTTCTCAGATACATCTTTCTTTAAGATTCATCATACAGCAGTTCCTTCAGATATTCTGGAAAAATCCTTATTCTGTTTTCCAGTTGGGCTGCCCAATTTTTTAGTTTGAAAAGTAGACTGATTTTATGTGTACCTTTCCTGTTCTAGCACCCAGATCTAGATATTTATGTTTTTAACAATTACCTGTAAAAGATAAGCTGATTAGCTTGCAAAAATATAAACCATAACTAGATGCTAACCATATACACAGATTTAATAGGGTTTTCGTTACTTTTTCTTCATACTTGTTTGCTTGTTTGTTTGTTTCTGAAGAAGACTCTTGCTACGTAGTCCAAACTGATCTTGACCTCTCCATACTCTTGCTTTGCTGTGCCCACACTCCCAACCCTACTCTTTTATTTTTATTTGAAATTTGGAATTCATATTATAAAACTTGCATAGCATATATTCAGCTTAAGGACAACTAAACTTTACTGCTTAATGCTTCTTAACTGTTTTATAACTTTAACTGGCTTAATTCCTAATTTCAGACAAAAAAAACAAGACTGGAAGGATTCTGAAAAACAGTCCTGGGAGTGTCCATACTGAAATAGCTTTTCGGCAACTCAGAGGGATAAATCTCTCTCCTACTCTTTTATCACATCAGAATATTGCATCTACAACTACACAAACGTACCACCAGATCAAACAAGATGAAGGAAGGTAAAGCTCTCTGTGTTTTGTTAATATTCTTCACATTTTAAAAAAAACTGTCCAAGTTTGCTGGTCATGTATAAAAATAGTGACTATGATCATGTGCTGTTATATATTTACTTTGTTTAGAAAAAGCTCTTAGATAACATAGGACTTCTTTTCCTTCATACATGAGACCTTTGCCAATTATGATCTGCATCATAATTCAAAAGTTTAAAATGACAGTTAAGGTCCAATAACGTTCAAAAAAATGAAATGCTCACCAGTGAGGCAACACTGCAGTAATTACAGGGCAACTCCTTGTTATTGTTTTCTCTCGAATATGCAAAACACTTTACTTGCATTTTGAATAGCAAATAAATTCAAATCTCTGAAATTGTGAAGGCAAAGGATTCTATAAATATTCAAAGCTTTCCTAAAACTCCCATTTACCTTGCCTCTATATGAACGCACTGCTAGAGCCCTGCTTAATCTCAGTAAATCCCTAAATTCTCATTTGGCACCTACTCCACTGCAATGCACCTCCCTGCCTGAATTCCCAAGAACTGCCCACTCCCAACTTCTTTGTAGTTTGCTGCATGGGCTCCCTGGTTATAATCAGTTGTGTTTTGATGAATATTCAGGCTGACTCAGTTTTTGTTGCTGTTTGGTTTTGGTTTTGGGTTTTGGGTTTTGAGACAGGGTCTCCCTGTAGCTACAGGTGGTCTGGTCTGGAACTCACTATGTAGACCAGGCTGGCCTTGATCTCAAAGATCCACCTGTCTCTGCCTCCTGAATGCTGGGATTAAAGACCCTGCACCACCACACCTGGCCTGACCCCATTTTTAAATAGCCAAAATAAGATTATATCCTTCATATTGCCTTTTGGAAATTAAAAGCACATAAAATACAAAATTCTTCACTGCAGAATTATGTTGTTATCTGAACCATTAAGAAGTCGGCGCACACCTTTAATCCCAGCACTCAGGAAGCAGAGGCAGGTGGATCTCTGTGAATTCAAGGCCAGAGTTCCAAGACAGCTGGGATTACAGGAAGACCCTGACTCAAAAAGACCAAAAAAAAAAAAAAAGAAGTCATGATTATGTGATTCATAAGTACCTTATTTCTTATATAATTCCTGGGAGCAACTTTCTAATAATAAATTGAATATAATTGCTTGAAGAGATATAAGCATTAAGCATAAACCAGGAAACACGTCTTTTAGTAGTCATGCAAAAGCCAGTTGACAGTAGTCAGTAAAAAAAAAGTTACTTATATGGCTGAGGCACTTCAGTTCCATATGACAGCAATCCATCACCCTTGCTGAATTTGATTAATGTCATCTCAAACTTTTTGTATGGTTATTTTAATCATTTGGCTCAATTTCTGTATTATAAAATCACAAACCACAATATCACACAACACTTGAGGAAGATAAAAGTGACCTGACATGAAACAAATTCTAGAAATCCAAATGCCTACTTCAGTGTTAGAGTTAGTTATCAAGTCTTATCATGGCCTATCATGCTAAGATGTTAAGGGAGGTAATTTTAGGAAATAAGTGTACTTTCACTTGTAGAAACTACTCATTTAGACTTGTGTAAAATTATAATATGTCTCATTAAATAGAACCATTAGTAAGTTTTGCTAGTTGAGTTTTCCAGAGGTCTACACTAAAAATGGTTTTGAGATGCAAAAAGTGGTCATGAGTGCTCATTCTTATCTAACTACGTGGGCAAGCGGTCATTTCTAGCCTAAGAAGTAGAGCAGAGTCACACTACATATAGGTGTTGCTCATTGTGTCTATAGCCATACGATTTTACAAGCAGTCTTGGGTTGAAAAGAAGACATGTTCAAACTGAGTGGATAGTTTTGACCGTTAATAATTATATTTCTCTTGAAATAGAATTTTTAAATTATGTGATATTGTCTAAAACATCACAAATCAATCAAATATAGGTTTGAATTTGCTTGTTTGTTAAAGTTCTTTAAATTGATGACTAATGGGATAGAGATGTGACTCAGCTGGGAAACTGCTTACCTAGCATGCCTGAAGCCCTGGGTTCAAGCCCTAGCACTGCATAAATCAGGTGTGGTGACTCACACTTGTAATCTCAGCCCTCAGGAGACAGAGATAGGAGGAGCAGGAGTTCAAGGTCATTCTTGGTTATATAGTGAGTTTGATGCCAACCTGGACTATAAGACATCCTGTCTCAAAAAACAAAAAATTGATGATTAAGTTGCCAGTCATATTTTGATTTATTAAGTAGGCTATAAGATTCAGGAAATATTCCATGCTTAAAGTTCCATATTGCATATGTTTTTCATATTATTAATGTTCTTTGTGTAAAAATAAGGTATTTTTATCCAATTATTCATACCTTATATTCTATCTGGAAATAGTTTCAAGAGTATTTTGGAAACAACATAATTCCAATATGTATGCAGTAATTTCATATTTTATTCTTTAAATGATGTATGTTTGTAATTTTAATTATATAATATTTTTAATTTCAAACCTAATTACAGAATTTTTTTCTTTCCTTTTTTTCTTTTGTGTGTGGCAATTGTGTGGTTTTTCAGTAACTGCTACATTCAGTTCCTTTGTTCAAAATCCAACTATGCAATTCTCAGGACGCCCAGGAGGTGTCTTTGTTTCCCTTCAGTTCTGAGAACTGCCTTCATCAGTGTTGTGAAAACATTTTCTATTACTAAATTTGTTCCCTTTGCTTTTTGTCTTTTGTGATTGTGTATAAATGAATACCATACTTTTATAATAAAAAATGCCTTTTAAAATACTAAGAAAAATAAATGTAATAAGTTTTCACTGGAGAAAAATGTTCAAGAACAGAAAAATACAAAGAAAAAAAAAAGAAAACTTATACCACAACCATTTAATGTTCTGAGATATTTTCTTTTCTCCTGTGGATTTTTTTCATAAACATAATTTTTAATTCTTAAATTCATGTTGTTAAATTTTGGAATATTTTATAAATCTTCCTTTTTATTATATTTTTTGAAAAGTAATTTTAATATGTAATTTGGTAGTGATACTAAGAATAATAATAAACATGAATTTGGGCATTGTTAAATGCTGTACAGAATACAGTGAACATAGAAACAACCTTAATCACCTTTTAATCTAAATCACAGTAATTTTATATGAAAGCAATGAGGGGGTTGATTCCAAACATGATTTGGTACAGCAGTTCAAAATTCTCTTTTCTACCTTGACAGCAGATGTCACCAGCATGACTGATGCACAGTTCCCCTGGGACCATCTAGATAAGGTTAAGCTATTGGTTACATGTCATTCACAATGGCTATATCTCCATCCCATTCCCATTTAACAAATTAAATAAAATGTCATTGAATGTAAATGATGTTTTTATAGGAGTGATTGTAGATCTACTTTAATACGGGCCAACATTTTAAATTATTTATACTAATAGTCCTATGAAATCGACATAACGTGTACTATCTCTATAAAGAAAATGTGGCTTTAAAAATTAGCATATAACATATCTAATCATAATTTTCAACTCCAAATTCATTACTTTTTCAAATAAATGTGAATTTGGCAATTTGTGGTTGTGTGCTCTTTAATCAGCAGTATGCTTATGATGTAGCTCCTGTATGTAAAAACTGAAAACTGCTTCATTCTTTTCCAGTGTATTTAGTTTGGATAAAAAGCATGATTTCCATGGAAAATATTTCTTTGCTCTCAGGAAATATCTCGATAGATTTTTCATGCAGTCAGACGCATTATCACTTAATTTTCAGTTTCACAAACAACCTGTGAGAAATTAGCACGCTTTAATTACACAGTAGGAGCCCACTCTGCTGAACTGAATGTGGAGGATCAGGTCAATCTGATATCTATATATGAAGATTGCCTGTAATTATAATAATTGCTCAATAAGAATCTTATCACTCCTGTTTTTAAAGCCCTAAATTCTTCTATTGAATTAACTACAATTGTGAATATTTTTGCCAAAAATACACATTATGCACTCTATGCAAAGGTGTACACCGAGTGTGTGTTTATAGGCCCTAATGACTAGCTTTAAAATGATCCTATATATTAGTAACATGCATGGCATTACTTACCCATAAGCATCATTCATTATGAGAAGTGTTTACTGTTTTAAAACAATAGATCTTAATTGTGTTCTAGGCTTAAAACTTAAATTAAATATTGCTAACATAAGAGGAAGTCAATTAGTTTTTATGAGCAAGCACTTAAGGCCGAATTCCTTTGGTTACAAAGTGAATATGTTCAAATCAACTTGTATATGGACTAGAAACTGAATTTTCCAATGTCTCTGTAAAGAAACTAAAGATTCCAGACAGCTTCTAAGCACTTAACTAATTTCTGTTCATCTTTCTACACTTTCCTCTATTATTGAAATATTTCTAAAGAAAACCAGTTCTAAAATACAATTCGAATTCACAGCTGATTTTTTGGAACTAAGTTGAGCAGGAACAAATTTATTTTACTAAAAATATCTTCTATATATTTTTATTTTACAAAAATATTAATTATACTGTTACTATTTTCATTGTGAACTAATTTATCTTGTAAACTACCTTAAAAGACACATCTCAGATTCAATTTATGCATTTTAATGTAACATTTAATGATTTAATAGAAAACTGAAAATTTGCAATCTAAAACTAAAATAGCATATTTTAAAATTTTAGAAATATTTTTGAGAATATTAATTACCTGAAATTAAATTATTTGTCTTTTCTATTTTATTAGGCTTCATCTTAACTGTATGCTCTTTTCGATTCAACACAAATCTTATAATCAGCATTGATCTGTTCCACATCAGATACCAATGACTGTAGGCTGAGAATGTGGCTCGATGATACAGGAACTAGAGAAAGAGAACTGAATGTTAGAACAGAGTTTCTATTGTATTCCATCACTAAATATGACAGTATTTCTATACACTCCGAATAAAAAAGTTGCACAAGGGTGACATTTTGGTAAGTTAAATGAATTACATTTTGATCAAATGTGAGACTATAAATAGGTGTGAAGCATTTTTCACAAATAGTAAAATAAATAATTTTACAGTTAGCTTAAATATAAAAACACAATTCTATATTTTCTTCTGGTTTTTAATTTTATGGTTGTAATTAATTTCTAAATGCTTAAAGATATTTCATATCAGCAGTTGTTTGTCAATGTTACAAATAGAAAAAAACATTAGTAATGATCTATTCTGCAAACCATAAAAACAAAAGTAATACTTCAAAAAACTCAAGGTGGTGACATATAAAAAGCTGTGCATAATATTCATGACCTGTATGGTTTACAGCTTACTTATTATACAATGAGTTCATTTTTTTCCAGAAATTGTTTTTGATAATTTTAGTGGTTCCATCTTTAGTTGTTGCATAGTGCTCCCTCTTCCTTCCCTCCCATATTGTTTCACAAGCGTGTGTAAGAACAACCAAAAAAGACTAATCTGTTAAAAAAAAAAAAATCAATAACATTTTTAAATTTCCAATTATTTCTTATTCCTTCCTCTCAATTTGGCTTAAAACACATATTTACAAACACTGGTAGCCTAGTTTAACATGGCCTTTCATTTTATATGGAGTGCTTCAAACGAGTTCAGTCAACCTTAATGGTGCATTTTTAGTTAAGGAAATAAAATAGCGAGAAGTCAATTTGAGGTCGCAGATGAACAAGTGTCTTCAGAAAGAATAGGCATAAATGGGTTTAGAAAACAACGTAGAAGTAAAATGCAGGGCACAAGGCACTCAGGGAAGCCAGATACAATGGCAAGAGTAAAGTACTGCAGAGCTTTTTAAGCCACATACAATTGGAACAATGGACTTGATCCAACCATCTATGTTAAACTGTTAAAAGATAGGTGAAAAGCAAGCTGGAATTCTATAAAGAGTGTTGAGGAACAGAGAATGAAGAACTAAATCTAAATAGAGAGAGTGAATGCAGTCATTCAACAGGATGGAAATGAAGTCAGAATTGGTGTGTTGCCCTGGCTAATTTACCTTGTGAAGGCCTCTGTTCTGTTTTAGGTAGCAAGCCATTATTTACAACCAAATAGTATTTAAGCATTTGAATTGTGAAAGAAAATAGTGAACAGCTGGCATTCTATAGGCATATTCATATGGATT